CATACTCATTCATGGATACGGCACGATATAAATAGACTATTATTATAACTGGTATTTGTATTATATTAATTATTATTAAAAATCCTATCAATAAAACTTGAGATTCTACATGTAGCATTTTTTATAACTATATATATATTGAAGGAAAAATTAGGGGGGTGCCCAAGTTCAGATTTTGTCATTGGTTCCGTATGGTTGAAAGGTTTTCAATCTAATGATCCAATGAAGTTCTATGGTGCGTCTATTTGTTGTAGATTTTTGGAGGTCAGGATCGGTACCCAATTGTTTAATTATTTGGTAGTCAAGGTTTCGACTAGAGTGGCTCGGTTGGTGGAAGTGGGAGGCAACTGGGGTGTCTCTTTTGTGGGTAATATCAGCATAATGTTCCTTCAGTCTAATTCGAACAGTCTTTTTGTTTCACCAACGTATTGTTTTTGGTATAGGTTGCAAGTAAGTAGGTAGATAACGTTTTTGCTGAAGCAGGTGTAATTGCTATGGAATTATACAATTTGCCTGTTTTGCTAGAATGAAATGTTTTCTTTCCTTTTAACGTATTGAAGTAATTGCATTAAGGATAGTTACAGGTGAATTCTAAAAAATTGTAACTTTTCCCACTTACTTGAGGCAAGGGTGTGGGGTCTTTTATAGTTGCTGAAGTTAAAAGATCTTTTAGAGACGGGTTGCGTCTATAAGCTGTAAGGCAGGGATGCCGAAAAACAGTCCGACAATCGTTCGAAATATGGAGGATGTGCCATTTATTCCTGATGATCTTGCTGATGTGGGCCGAAGTTGAATTATAGTCCGTTACGAAAACTGGACCCTTGTTATCCTTCGGTGTGGTTTTCGTATTTAGGGGGTTTTTCCTCTGAATATTATGGGCTTTGTTTCGCTTTGATTGGATAGTATCTCTTGGGTAGCCCTGTTTGAGATAATAGTTTACCAGGTTGTCTGCATGTTTTTGGTAATCTGCTGGATTGGAGCAGAAACGTTTGAGTCTAAGAAATTGACTATACGGTCCCTTGTGTTTTATATGCGGTGGGTGACATTGACATGAGGTGTAGGATAAGTGAGAGTGTGTGTCTGTCGGCTTGCATAACAGATCAAACTTGAGTTTTTTTGTGTGGTGTTCAAAACTTACCATGGTGTCTATGAAGGACACCTTATCTGTGGAATATTCGGCTGTGAATTTAATTGTTTTATGAAAACTGTTCATCAGCTGTAGGAAATCTTGTAGTTTAGAATTTCCATGTGTCCAGGTAAGGAAGATGTCGTTTATAAACCGGACGAAGACTAGCGGTTTGAAAGGTACTTTATTTAACATAATTTGTTCTAGTTCACTTAAGAAAACACAAGCGAAGTGTTTGACATGTTCGTCTGTGAAACTGCTGATGAATTCCATGGGGTCCCATTACCACTGATGGGTAGTAGGTAAAAACTATTAGGCCTTTTAGAAGTTTTTCCGTAATCTGACCCGACTGGTAGAGTTTAGTTAAAAATTGAGTAATTTCAGTATTGAATTCCGAAGTTGGGTCTTCATGAAGGGGCATGTAAAAGATGGTGTTGGATAGTTGTCTTTTTGCTTCTAGGATGTAATCGGTTTTGTTCAGGATAGCAACGGCTGAGCCTTTGTTGACTCTTTTGATAATAATGTCTGGGTTCGTTTTTAATTGAACAATGGCCAACCTTTCTTATTTAGAAAGATTGTTTATTTTAAATTTTATAATCTCGGTGTTGAGGATTTGGTTCTTTATAACTCTGAAGAAGATTTCTAGGTTTAGATTTGCCCTTGGGTTGGGGATCCAAGTGCTACATGGTGCAAATTTTTTATCCAGCTACAAATTGAAAGTATCGGGGGGTGTGGGTGCATTATTGAAATGGTAAGTTATTCTAATTTTTCGGAATAGTTTTCTCAGGTCTACAAGCGTCTTGCTTAACCCGGAAATGAAATGAAATGGGTTGTAACGTCCTACTGTTCTGCTCCTAACCTGGGCTAATGAAGACGGGCATACGCCATACAGTGTGCTATGAGGGAAATTTTGCCCGGGCAGCGGCACTATCGCCTACTCTTATATCGAATTCCAACTGCCAAGGGATCTTTTACGTGCATTCCAATGTATACACGGGACCTCTGCTTAACCCGGAATCAATCAAATAGAAAGTGTTGGGGGGTGTGGGTGCATTATTGAAATGGTAAGTTATTGTAATTTTTCGGAATAGTTTTATTATTTATTATGTTGTGGAGTGATTAGATGATAAAAAATCCTAAATGGTGGCCAATATGGCAGTATTTTAAGGTTTGTGGGTGTCATAACTCCAATCAAAATTAACCGTGCTGATGATTCTCAACCATCAGCCATGTTTGGAGAGTCAACAAATTTTTAAACTAATTTCATGCTCAGAGGATATTGACAAGATTGTTTGTTTTCGTAGTAGGGCGGCAAACGCCCTAAAACTCGTAAATGAGGAAGACAATGATCTCGAAACAATGTTGAATAGAATAAATAAACAAGTTCGCAGTGAAATCAATGAAATTAACACAGATAAAAATCATTATTCAACAACGATCAATAAAAAGATGTCAATGGATGAAATTAGTGAAACATTAATGAAACTACTGGGACATTTATCCTCAAAATTGGATAGGACCTTCCCAGCCATACTGATCAGTTCAATTGTTACTGGGGTTATCAAAAACAACCCAACTGCGCTTCAGATAACTCTGGGTTCCAAATTGGACCGATCAAAAAAGATTATCAAAACTCTGCAGTCATTTGGTCTGACTAGTTCTTATGACGAAGTGTTGCGTTTCAAGCGGTCAGCAGCAAAAGCTGCAACACTGGAACTTTCCTGTCCTGGTATAGGTGATGCATCAGCAGGTTTGGTAGAAGTGGTGGTAGATAATTTTGATGCTGATATATCATCTCAAAATGGAAAACTCTCTACACACTCATTAGCTATGCTTGTTACACAACCAGAAACCGAATGGGATGCTGATCGGTGCAAGCAAGAGACAATCCCACTCACTGCACTCACTCGAAGTCAAGATTCCTAATATACTCCTTTACCTATATGTTACTCGAACATTACGTCACAATGACCGACCTGACGTCATAGCAACCACATTCCAAAACAAGATGGAAGCTAGCAACGAATGTGGAAAAGTTTTTTCTAAAAGATGCCATGTTCTGCGACATGCCAGGGAAAGGCATCAGCCCACTTTCTCCAGGTGTGAAGAATGTGGGAAGAAATTCAGGAGAATACCTGTCAAAGCACCGGTGTAAAGGCACCAAACCTGCAGTAGAAGAGGGAAACTCAGCCTTGATTGCTGATACCCTCAAAATAGCGATAAATGCAACCATTGGAGAGCTCGATCAAGACACCACAACCACCACCTGCTCCACTGACACAGTCATAGCCACGGGGGCTTCTCCCTTTCTATACTACACTACCAGTGAAGTCACACCATGTTCTGGGGATCACGTGGCTAAGTGGGTAAGACGCTAACTCGCTAGCCTGGAGGTCGGGTGATCGATCCCTGCATTGGCCGAGAAAGTTCATCCAGATTTTCCGGCGTAGTTCTCCCTTGTCAGTGATGCAGGAAGGAGGGGCTGACAAGGAAAGCTGTCTAGCCGTTCGGATGAGACGAAAAACCGAGGTCCCGTGTACACATTGGCGTGCACGTAAAAGATCCCTTGGCAGTTGGAATTCTATATAAGAGTAGGCCGTAGTGCCGCTGTCCGGGCAAAATTTCCCTCATAGCACAATGTATGGCGTATGCCCGTCTTCATTAGCCCAGGTTAGGAGCAGAACAGTAGGACGTTAAACTCCATTTCATTTCATTTCATTTCACACCATGTTTTAGCCAGAGCCACGCGGACATCCAGGGCGCTCCCACACCTGATTGTAGGGGAAACCTGGAATACCATCACAACCAGCAGGAGCGACATCTGGAAAGATAGGTTGCCAGGCAACAAAACATACGCCCACAGCAGGTAAATCGTCCGAGCGGTCGTCAAGGGTTGTCATATATTTAATCCTTTGTAGGTAATTGGGGGCCTTTACAAGACAGTTCCATACAGATCAGATTATAAATTTTGTTGTTTGAGGGTTTACAAGGTTCTACAAACTGAAACAAGGGTCTCAACTCTGGAAGTAATCTACAGAAATTGTTGAAATTTGACAGGCTTTTTCGTTTTACTAATTTAAATAATGCATATAAATTTCACAGATCACATGATCACTTTTGTCATTCAAATGTTCACAATCGCCATAACTCTAGAAATTATTGACGGAAATTGCTGAAATTCAATAGACCTGTTTCACTAATTTAAATGATGCATATAAATTTCATACATATCGGATGATAACTATCATCAATCGAGCATTAACAAGGTTTAACAAAGTGAAACAAGGGCAATAACTCTAGAAGTAATTATTGTAAATTGTCGAAATTCAATAGGCTTTTTCGTTTCACTAATTTAAATCATGCATATAAATTTCACAAAGATCGGGTGATAACTTTTTGCGTTAGAGCATTCACAAGGATCAATAAAGTGAAACAAGGGCCATAACTCTAGACGTAATAAACGGAAATTGCTGAAATTCAATAGGCTTCTCCGTTTCACTAATCTAAATAATGCATGTAAATTTCACAAAGATCGAATGATAACTTTTGGCGTTGGGGCTTTCACAAGGTTCAATAAAGTGAAACAAGGGCCATAACTCTAGACGTAATATATGGAAATTATTGAAATTCAATAGGCTTCTTCATCTCACTAATGTAAACAACATATATCAATTTTAAAACAATTAGATAATTTACCTCTGTGATTAACACCAACTTCGATATGATTCATCTAACCAATAAATGAATAATCATATTCCTAGCGAATTTGATATATTAAGTTACTAATTTGTTAAATCACCTTGACATGCATCATTGGCAAAGTAAATCACGAACATGTCACATGGATATCTAAGTTCAAAGATAATAATCTTACCTGAATTAAGATTAAAGGTGCGACCTTTAGTTGGATCTTTTGGGGGAGAGAACCAGTTAATCAGAGATCCGACAATTGGTACTTGTCTCATCACACCCTGTATCAATAATGATATAATTTATAAACACAATTCTCCCAGAACAGGTTTATATATTTCTATATTTTATCAACTTTATTCTATTTTAAGAAAACCATAAATTGTCAAAATTAAATGGAAAATATTTCAATTTTTGTATTAATAGAAATTACTTGTAACCAAGAGCTTGTAATGCAGTTACCATAAAATTTGACTCATTTTGATATAACGGAAATCCATCAAGTGGTTCAGAAAAATAGGCTAACAGATGATGGACTGGGGTATGAAATAAGCAAATAACGACATCGACTAATGGGCTAGAAAAGTACTTGATGGACTTACCTCCTGCATCAACTTGTCTACTGATTCCTTATGTAATTCTTGATTTGCTACATCAATATTCTTCTTGATAATCTCAGACATTGACTCCAAATACTGCTCAATAAATAAATTTGATTATTGCAACAGTTACTTCAGTCCTGTATGTCCATTCTTCGATCGACATTTTTGAGTTAACATGATCAAGAAGGGTTTTAACTATTCACGAAAATCCAAATATTATTTATTTGGATGAAATTTATTTCAAATTCAGAGCTTAAACAATATCTTCTTTTATCTTGGAGTTTTAACTACACAATATCGTAATTCAATCATGAGATTATACTGGCTTTCAAAAATCATATAATCATCCATAGTGAATCAGAAACATATTCAAGATCATTGAGCATCAAGAAAGAAAATCCTGTTGATATAAGCAGCTGATGATAGTGAAAGAATAAAATAGCACTTTAAATTCCTAAGTAATATTATACAATTGCTTGTGTATATTTCCCGCCTATTAAAAAAAAAGTATGTAAGATTTAGGTAAAGAGCTAGCCATTCTTGCTGTAATAGTTCCAAAACAGATAATGTAAAATGAATAATTTGAAAATTTCATTCAAATTACTTTATTGTGAGCGAAGAGATTAGCCTTTGAAGGTTTGACAAGATATGTGCAATAGTCTTGCTCCTCCATTTTTAAATTAAATCAAAATATGGCTGAATCATTCTAATCTATTTAATATCGCAGAAATCTGATGCCAGTGAGAGTTGATTATGGCCTGGATCAGTTAATTAATGTTATTAATAATTTAGAAAACATTTCAGGCCTAAAGAAAGACCTGCAATAGGCAGATTTAGCTCGTGCATAATGTACATTTATGTTTAAATAAATGAACACACACCACTATTCGTTTACATTTGTATCATAGTACTACTGAACATCACATTGTGTTGGAGTTCGGGCGCCTTATTAAATGCTTATCTACATTTACATTACATGTATGTACTTACTTTAGAGGACTCTTCAATCTGTTTACCTGTAGTATGAACTAGAGCTACAAGTTCCTCTACATCTGTATTAACAGTTATTAAACCAAACCTTACACAAATCTCATCATCTGAACAATGACCTGAAATATATACATCACATGCTCAGAAAGTTCTACAATATCTAATAATGTAGGGTACTGGAATATGCCGAGGTTGGCCGATGTGTTTCTTTCTAGGGACTAAAGACTAAAATACAAGTTCAGATGTTATATTTATTAAAGTACACTAGCAATTTAACCATGTCTTACTACACATATTTTTAGTTCCCCCACCCTATTTAATTTGCGGTAATTTATTCAGGAATATTATTGACGTGAACTTCAACCCTATACGTGAATGGTGCACAGTTTGTCGTTATTTTCGTATATTATAATAATAAGAGATTCTCCATAACAAATTACCAAGAATTATTTTTGTTAAAGTCTGTTTTTTATTAATTATTACTTGTTGATTAAGAAGTCAATCAACTTACTTATCAACTACAATAACAGTCATACCATATGGTTCATAATCCAAGTAATTAGCACATTTAACGGTAATTTTTATAAAACAAAAACGGGCTTGTTGTAACACTTTCACTGCCGCCACTCATTTTATCCACACAGTTACATACTAAAACAGTTACAAGTCTTAGGTATAATATAGGAAGGAAAAGAAACTTCATTCAGATTATTTGAGAACAACATTCAATATTTTACGAAAAAGTCAAACTTGGCATGACGACAGTCGTTAAAGAAGGATCATTCTGACTGGCTGTTATCATCAATCGATCCAATGAACTGTCCTGTTTATATAATGAACAACCACAATATAGACCAGGCTACAACCGCTGTCTATTTCATATGCCCCAAGAAGGACTAGTAAACAATAAACAGTGAGAGACAGGAGAATTAAATTTATGTTATGCATGTTACTCGTGTGAAACAGAACAGAAGTAATCGGTCAGTAATTGACAGTAATTGTTGTTACTGCTATATTTCTCCTATTTATTTTCATTGAAAAGAATCAATTTAGACAATTGAGGGGAGTGATGAAAGGCACACCCCGACCAACATGCAGGCACGTCTAGGACAGCGAGAGAAATCACGCTCCTTTTATGTGAAGGCCTGCTAATCAGTCACCATATAGTAGGCTTTACATAAAATTTATGAAAGAATAAATAATACTGCTACTACTAGCAAGAACTTTGTTGTCTGATCACTGTTTAGGATAAATTGTACTTCATTTGTATCTATTATGATAATTTTGTGTAACTTACCAGTAGAGAAAGCTGTATCCATTGACTTTAGTTTATGAACTAGTTCACCATTGATATTGCTAATATCTATTTTACCTTGTTCCGTTGGTGTTTGATTTAACCAATGATCAGGTATATATCTGTGTATTGGAAAAACGAGTATTGCTAACAATAAATATACAATAAATAACAAAACTAGTTTTAGTTCCCACTGCAAGATTTTGACAAGAGCAACAACTCTGTAAACAATTGTCTATATGCACTGATTTATTCCTATGATAATACATTTTAACGATGCAAGTTTTGAAAAAATTCATCCATATCTTTCATATCTGAAGCATTTTGTAGTAAGGGCAATAACTCTGTACCAGGGCTCTTAATTTTAGCTGCAGCAATTAACCACCCACTACACTATCATAAATTAATCTAGTTTTGCCATCACCCAATTTATTAGACATTTCCCCTTGTAACTATTACTTAAAGTTGTAGAATTTGCATTTTAGGCATGAAATCTGGACAGCCACAAAAAATACCCATACATTTATTACCCTCAATAGACAATATAATTAATTAATATTTACTACGGAATTCTCTCTAGCTGATTCCATTTATTATTACATTAGTAATGCTAGTACACTATACCATTAATGACAAATTAAGTAGGACTAACATTATAAAATGCATCCTTTATAGACATTCATTTTAAAATTGTACATGAAATATACTCTTTAAAAAAAGTAGGGGATATTCAGAAACATGCAAAACTGCGCAAATGTACTGCTGTTTTTATTAGAGGTAACCAGTGTATGTTCATAAATTGCCTACACATAAACAGTTCATATGGGCGGCTTATCTGACGGCCCCATTTCACTCGCAAAGAGATACACTGTCAAAAGTGAAAATAGACGTTTTTGATTTTTGTCTTAATAATGAGTAATTGCTCCACCAATCCTCAGACATTCAGCAATTTGTCGTGGCATTCTCCTAATCAATCGTCCAATCACGATTTGGGGCAATCTGACCCACTCCTCTTGCAGTGCTACGGCCAATTCTTGCAGTGTTGACGTCGACGTTGACGAACATGTCTCCCAATCATATTAAATGTAACACACTAAAGCAAAGATATGCTAAACAGTAAATCTTATGCAAGAACCGATAGGAAAGCAAACATGGATAGGATAAACCAGCAAGCGGCAGTTTTCATCAACCCTTCCTTGAAGTGTCAAATTTGACAATGAACCCCTCCCACGTGTATGGCACTATTGCGTGTCGCACATGCAGGTCAGTGGTTCTGTTGGGGGGTCAGTGGTTCTGTTGGGGGGGCGATAGTTCTTCATCTGTGAACATACTCTCAAAGCATGTCAAGTGTCCATGACTATTTATCATATCACAACCTGCATAGGTATTTGCATTTCAATATCCCCTACTTTTTTTTGAAGAGTATATATGAAATTACCTAATAGCACCTAATCCAGCCCAGGTAGGAAGATTAACAGGTACTAGATTATTAGTATTTTCAACAATTGACCGGAATCTATGTCGCTGAGCTACTGTGGCATCTAAAACAGCCTAAAAAAAATACATTATTTAATAATTGTAATTTTACATAGTCTGTGCTAAATATTATTATCAGTGACTAGTTCCAAAAATACAAATCCAGAACTCTAATTCTAAGACTAATTTCTCTTGATGAGTTCAGTCTAAAAGGATGTTTTTTGATACAGACCAATGAAAAGACAACTATCATTTCAAGTATGGCATTAGGGAATTCCCTGTAGCTATAATTGCTGTTCTATTTGATTATTTTGTAGAAAGTCCCACTGATCCTACTGAGTAAAATATGAATTGGTCCATGAATATCTCTGTAAAAAGTAGACTGTTTTCAATTTATTAAAAAAACAGTGAAATTAACATCTGCCTCAAATTTGTAAAAATATTGTAGTCAGTTGAAGTAACTTATGTGGTGTATTTTGGTGGGAAGCTATTGGGCCATGGTGCAACCATTAACTAACAATAGAGAATTCCATTTTTGCCTATAATAGCACCCTCCACACCAGGGATGCCATTTCAAAATTTTGCACTCAGACATTTTTAGTTAGGGTTAACGGAACAGAGTCCAGAACTAGGTCACCAAAAGGTCCGCTTCTGCAAATAAGGTCAATAAGCTGCCATTCATTTAAATGGACTTCAACAATAAATATTTCTTATGTCACGTAGCATATTGTGTTCTGAATAATGTTTATGATTAGTAGAAAAAGTTTGGTGGTCCTCGCTATTTTTCATATTTCATTCCTGTACCGGCTTCTACTTTACATCAGTAATATTCATCAATAATCACCTGCCTTCATTTGTACAATAGAAAACGTAAATGTTCGTGATAAGAATAGTTTGTGATATCCAAACACTGTTTTCCTCATTATAAAATGGTATTTTAAAATTACATTGTTAGTTTTTAAAATCACACGTAAAAAGGAATAGTCAACTTCTGCGCATTATCATGTCTCTTATTGGCCTACGTGCTCTTTTACACATAATTCACGCCAAAATCAACCATTTTACTAGTTTCGTAGTAACCAATGCCTAAGCGATGATTTCCGTGTGACAGCAAGATCGCAGGAAAGTGCCACTGTAGATGTAGTTTCATTACGGAAAATAGGTGTTTATTTATTAATAGCTATTAATAGATAATAATAGGCAGCAGACGTGTCAACTAGCCTGTTTTTTCCATGAGACTCACAGATTCACAACCTTTCTCCCAATCTCCCGCACGGGAGGAAATTTCTCCCTTACTTTCGTTTTATAAATCAACCTCATGATGGGCTGACAGCCCAATGTGTGTTTGTGCTACATCGTAGTATTGTTTGGAGTAAAAGTATATTGTAATGGTATCAGAGTACATGAGCGTACCAAATAAAATAGAGACCTAGTATAATAATAGTATCTATCTATGCGATTTTGACAATTCTCCTGTGAAGAGAAAATAGTTCATGCCACATGACTTTAGCGTGAAACCGGAAGCCACTGACTGAAATTTAGCCGACTTAAAATCTGCGATTTTGGATTACTTTTTCAATTAAATATATTACTAGCGATTGTATTATAATACTGAGATATCGATCTCAATGTATGCAAATAATCTGACTCAAAAGTTATCAAAATATAAGCCCAATTACCGTTTATGTACGGGAGACACTTGCAGGAAAATACCGCTCTGACGTCACAATTCCGGGAATTTCCATCCACGCGATTACAGCCATAGAAAACAGGATTTATCGGTTTTGCAGACTGACGTACATTTGCTATTTTCGACTAAATGTAGCCTGCTTTTTATCTGATATTAATAAGATTATAAATATTTTATATATTATCATTCAAATTATTAAGATTTTTATAAGTTTTAACTGGCTAATATTCACGGATTTGAGTTGTAAAATTTGTACGACCGATTCTATACCGTCAATCTGATTAAAACAAAGATCCTCCTATTTCGTTTCGTTTTTATAGTTCAAAATTTCGTTTTACTTTTCTTTACTACACTAGGATCTGGAAGAGTTGTTATCATTGACGCGTTCTGAATGGTGTAAGGGCTTAGCCAATGAAACGGTCTGATTGGTTAATCAAATGTCTGACGTCATAGGGTCAAAAGCTGCTCGTATGACCTCTGACGAGACCTATCATTACAACCAGTCAGATCTCCATGTAGCGTAGGCCATCAAAAGTAAAAAAAAACGAAACGAAAATATAGATCTGTCTGTATTTTAATCAGATTGCTATACCGATTATTTATGATGTCACTCAGAGGTGACTGAAAACACTTTTTGGAGTACCGTATTAAAGTTTTTTGGGTAGCATTTTATGTATATTTTCACAAAATATTTCAAAAAAATTTTTTCTGTCATTTAAATTATTGACCCAAAATCCAAAGGGGGTTTTCATTTGTTCATTGTTGTATGCAGCAAAAATGAGCGCACAGTGTAAAAAGTGCTAAAGACATTTAGTATTAGCCTATGAAGAATAAAAATGAAGTTAGTTGATGAAAAAAGAAAAATCTCCTGGATTCTCCTGTTTTTTCATTGTTGGTCTCCTGTTTTTTTATACCTTTGCGAATATGTACAGAATATTTTGTTTTCAGTGAATAGAAAATATACTGAGCGCCATGGAAAACGCATCACTTTTTTTTCCCAAATATTTTATTACTAGGTGGTTTTGTATGTATAATATTATGCAATACTATGAACTATTGTTTCACACAATGCTCCCAAACACAAAAAATATCGGCCCGTGTGCAAAAAAAAATAAATTGCACGCGATGCACATGAAAAACCCAATATTCACGTGCAGCATTGTGTGTGAGCCCTTTAAAAGCATGTTTTCAACTTAATGTGCAGTACATGAACTGTGAAACGTCAATCTGTCGTAATTTGTTGTTGGACGTGTGAAGGAATCGTGCTAGTGATGCTGAGACTTACTGAAAATCAACGGAATGAAGCCATGGGAATGCCCAGGGCTGGCATGTCTACACGTGCTATTGCAGACACTTCAATTTTCATCAGTCCACTATTGTAAGGTTGGTGGAACAAGTTCGAGTTACTGGATCAACACGTGACCGTCAACGTCCTGGTCCACAACGCGCTACAACCCAGGCTCAAGACCGCTACATCCGGGTCACTCATCTGCGTGACAGATTCCGCCCAGCGACTCGAACAGGTGTAGCAGTCGTCGGAAGACAAGGACCAGTAAGTGCCAACACCGTAAGACGTCATCTAAGAGAAGTAGGACTCCGTGCACGACGACCTTATGTTGAAGCTATCCTCAGGGATCATCACCGTCAGCAGCGTTTGATATGGGCTCAAGGACACCAGACATGGTGAAGACTAGACTGGCAAAGTGTGCTCTTCAGTGATGAGAGTCGCTTTCATCTTTATCACGCTGATGGCCGTTAACGTGTGTGGAGACGCTTGGGGAACGTCTTGCAGACTGCTGCGTATTCAAAACGAAAATGGGGTGGGGGAAGTGTAATGGTGTGGGGAGGCTTCACATTTCATCACCGGACCGCCCTACACATTTGCAGGGGTCGCGTTAATGCTGTAGCCTACCGTGATGATGTCTTGCAACCAATTGTTGTTCCGTGGTTTTGAGCGCACCCACAACTTCAGTATGGACTACCTGGCTGCTAACAACATCAATGTTTTGGACTGGCCAGCCATGAGATTGGACGCCGTCTGTATCGGAGACCACAGATGCACACCATTGCTGCTTTAGAAGCTGCTCTTGTCCAAGAATGGAACAAATTGCCCCAGGCCTTCTTTCAAACATTGGTAAATTCCATGCGACGTCGCTGCACAGCGTGCGTAAGAGCCTGTGGAGGACACACGCGCTACTGACATCTGTGTCGTACTTTTGGTTTTGACCCCTCTGACTTTGTACCGTTGATTACAGATTAAACATCCATAAGTGTACAAATGTGTTATTATTGATGTGTTCCCATTTGAATATTGTTCACAATAAGAAGCAAAATAAATAAGATATGTTTACAGGATCATTTTGTTATACGAAAAACTAAGTGATGCGTTTTCCATGGCGCTCAGTGTAGTTAAAATATTGTGTAATGGCAAATGGGTTGCCAGGTGGGACCACTTGGCAATTCTTATGAAGTTAAATGGTTACAATAAAAATTATTGTGTGATGGCACAGAACTTGGAATCCATGACCACTTGGACCAAGACCAGTCGGACCAACTGTGTTGTTTTAATAAATTAACAATTGTGTTTGTTTTAATATGACTACTCGAACCAATAATAAAGTGTTGTTTTAATAAAATGATAATGGTGTTTATTTTAATATGACTACACGAACCAATAATAAAGTGGTATTTTTTCATCATTGTCAAAGAAAATCTGTTAACAAAACAACGATGAGTAGTGATTAATTCGCATGTATCTGTACTTACCCATGTTACAAGCCAATCAAATTGATGAAGCACATCAAAGAAAAACAATTAAATTGTTGATGTAATAAAGATGAATATTTGCTAATATGAACTTACCTGTTATGTATATACTCACCTATAAATTATTATTTATTTAATAATAAATAAATAACATATTGTCTGTATTTTATTTTTAAAATGAATAAGTCAGATCTTATAATATAATTTAATTGATCCGAGTGCTCCTTTGGGTTGGTCTGAGTAGCAAAGATAAATGTTGGTCCAAGTGATCTTACAATATAAATTGATTGGGTCAAGTGGTCTTTTGGTTTGGTCCGAGTAGTCTTTTGGGTTGGTCCAAGGGGTCTCTGTTTTGGTCCGACTGGTCTTTTTTTGGTCCGAGTGGTCTTTGGTCCGAGTTTCCGGATATCAGAACTTTTGAAAGTTTTAATGACTGTCCATGTTGTTGTTGTTTATTACAAATTTAGCATCCAATACATTATAATATAATATATTATGAACAGGTTGATTTAATTAAGTTATTTACATGTCAAGGCACAATATAAATGACTGTTCACTGATTAGGATATGTGACATCAAGGAGAAAAACATGTCTGATAATGGAGAACTACAACCACAAGGTAATCACAAAGATTAACTTTTTAATCACTCTTAGTCTTAATGAATTGATAAATAGTCAGACAAAGGAGAAGCGAGAGAGAGAGAAATGGGGTTTAACGTACACTCAACACAAACTGGATCATTACAGGACTAACACATGGTTCAATTTTATTTCAATAATTCGCTTGAGACTAGGGTCTATAGCAGTGGAGGAAACCGGAGAAAAACCACAAGGTTGGACAGGCGACCCAACTCCTTGTCACGTACAACCGGGGAATTGAAACCACACCAGATGACTCAATGACAGACCTTATGATACAGCGTGCACATGCTAATCATTCGACAATGCCAAAGGAGAAGCAACGACTTCTTTTTGGGAGTGGATTGATGAATAATCAAACAAAGTAATCAAGGCAGATTAAGAAGTTAATCAAAGTAGGGGTATAGACTGCATAACACGATAAATATGCTGAACACTTAATTATCTAATCAATCCAGCCTTTTATCAACGATAATCAAGATGAGTAGTAGTTATACACACAGTACAGTCAATATATTTTGGAATGTTGAATATTATTCACATCTTGAGATCCAATCGAGCATATTCCTGGTCAGACGTTTGGAAAATTGCTTAGGACATGTCTGGAATATATGGTTGAAGTAGCATCCCTGCTCCACACCCACAATTATTCAAGATATACATTTAGGGCACTTCCAATTTCTGCTTGTTCCCCTACCCCACCAAGCTATACAGACCCCAATAATAGAGTAACAGTATTACAAGTACTTTTCAGATATTTCCTTATCTTTCTAAATCTAAAACTGAACAATCTGGATTACATTAGTTTAAACCTACCAGATTTTCAGTTAAACAATCAGCAAATGTCTGTATATCTTCCTCTGTTGTACCTGAAACTATAATGCCAAAAATGCATATATTTAAAGTCTCTGAATGTCATTTGAGAGATTGTAATCCCCTGCAAACTACAATGTTGTGAAGGAATATCTGTACAAAAATGGTCAAATTCCGCTTAGTATTTACAGACATGAAAAAAAAAAATTGCAGTCTGCACTGGATATGGACAAAACGGACATAAACCAAATAGGTAATGTTTTTATCTAAATGTATATCACTGGACTCTTATTAAAGAACAAATATTTAATAGATCATTTTTGATTTTTTTTTATGGCTATTATGGCCAATGTTCAAATCTAGTCAAATTTAGGGAATTAGCTTACAGACCTTCCAGAGTACTGTCCTATAAATAGGCTAGGGACTAATGAGAGACACACTCAGCAATATAATAAACATCACAATGTATGTATATAAAAATATACCTATATTACTTACACTGAGCTGTTTCTAAAGGTGAATATCTGACACAAACACCTTCTTTATTAATATCTACAGCAGTAACTGGAACCTGTGGTACACTACACTGTAATGTGTCTACAAGCTAAAATAATACTTATATCAATATTAATGTCATCAACATATATAGAACATGGTCAATAAAACAAGCTCACCAGTGTCAGGTATATTTAAAATATTAAACATTTTGAACTGTTGAGAAATAACACTATGTATCAGTAATGGAGAATAAATTCACAATTCACATAAAATTGATGCTGTTCACAGTGTATATCAAAATGGTTAATAAAGGGTTAATCCTTAGGACAAACCAAATAATCCGAGCCAGTTTTTGACCTACAGTAAGTTTACAAGATTTAATTTTTAAATGACATGAGCAATATGTCTGCAACTATAATTTCCAATAAGTTTCCTCTTTATAAGCAACATCTAGACCATAATTTTATCTAAAAGTTTTGATCTGGTTGAATTGTATTGTACTGTTTAAAGTCCCATAAATTATAAGCCAACAGGGAGGCGGATGTCCGCCGCCGAAATCCCAAAATAAATAGATGACACATATTAATTAACAGTACATTTATTTTTTTCAAACATATCGAGCAATCAAACTATACACTAAGTTTCATCACTCTATATCAAATAAAATCAAGATTATCTTGTTCCAGAGCGTCGACCAATGAAATTGATTAGCTCTGCTTAGCTTCAGCTCGAAATGTTAATCATTGAACTCAGTCAAGGCATTCACCTAACGAACATCTACATCAAGTTTAAACATTCTACCTCAATTAAAAGCAGAGTTGTGTTCCAAAGTCTTGACCAATCAATTTGCTTATCGCTCCTTAGCCTAAGCAGAAAATTCTCACTATCGAACTTAGTCAAGGTAATGATATAATGAATCTATATTTGGAGTTTCATTGCTCTCACTTCATTATAACCAAAGTTATCGTGCCCCAAAGCACCAACCAATCAGATTGCTTATCTCTGCTTACCGTAAACATACAACGTTCATCATCAAACTCTTTAAGGCATTCACCTAATGAAAGCCTACACCAAGTTTGAACATTCTAGCTCAATTAGAATGAGAGTTAATGTGTTCCAACAACTCGACCAATCAAATTGCTTATCGCTCTGCTTACCCTGAGCAGAAAATGCTCATTATTGAACTTAGTCAAGGTATTGATGCAATGAAACTATACACCAAATTTCATCACTCTCACTTAATTAGAACAAAAGTTATCGTGTCCCAAAGCATCAACCAATCAAATTAAATATCTATGCTTATCTTCAAACTCCATCAAGGCATTGACCTAATAAACACATAACCCAAGTTTGAACATTTTAGCTCAATTAGAAGTTATGTTATTGTGTCCCAAAACAGACAGACAGACAGACGAACCCATTTTAATAGTCCCCTGCTTTCTTCGAAAGGCGGGGGACAATGAAATAAAATGGACTTTTCTGCACAGCTGGGCTAAAATATGGGTTAACGTCATGCAGTGTGCTATGGTATGAGGAAAATTTTGCCCCAAAAGAGCATTTTGTCCCTTAAGAGGAGGAACAAAAAGTCTACATTCATTTTCAGAGTGGGTGTGTAAATACAATAACCATTTGAAAGCCTCCTCCCGTCTGTCAATTATCAATCATTATGTTGCTTACCCATGTATTTAAGGCATTATAATAAGTAGAATTATCATCTGTTTGCTGATATTCTTTATTACCACTACTTGAATAAGATGCTACAATTGATCCTGAAAAATACATCATTAAACAGTTAATATTTACTAAGCAGCAAAAGAAACGTCAGGTTAGTATGTTACTCTGAATAGACGCATTGCATAGAACTTGCAAAATCTTTTTATTGTATATTTGTCACCACATCTCCAACTTTACCTGAGCAATAAGGCTCCTTCCCAAACACAGAATTGAACCCAGGAAATGTTCTCAAAAACGCAACCCGACTTATGAGATGGTAATGTGTTCTCCATGATTTATTTTCATGTAACTCATGCTGCAGGTGCTGTTCACCGGGACCAGCCCTATCAAATGCACCCTGCTACCTGGGGAAATCATTCACACTACTTCAGCAGCATGCCACGACTCACGACAGCTCAGAGGAACCGGGCGCTTGGAAGACTTGACGCTGGCCAAACTGCCCCAGCCGTTGCCAATCACTTCCAAGTCAATTTTCGGACCATCTACAGGCTTCAGCAACGCTTTTGGGCCACCAACATCACGGATGATTGCCCCCGAACTGGTAGACAAAGGGTTACACAAGCCGACAAGATCGCCATGTTGTGCGACAGCACGTGCAGAATCTCTTCACACAGGCATCTGAGACAGCATGTCAGACAGTGGGAACACATGGAAGACCCATCAGTACTGATACAGTGCGCCGACGTCTCACCAGAGAGAACATCTATTGAGGTAGACCTTACCGTGGACTGATCCTCACCCCTCGCCATCGACAGTTTGCCCAACAACACCAGAACTGGTGACACAGGCAATGGAGAACTGTTCTGTTCACAGATGAGAGTCGATATCACGTATCAACTGCAGATGGCAGGACTAGAATATGGCGTTGATGTGGCCAGTGTTATTCTGACCAATGTGTCATGGAAGTGATTTTTGCAAATTTGTATCAATGACAAAATATTTTGGATTAAACATCAAGAACAACTGCATTTTATACAGCAGCAACAAGGCTTTTAATATACATGAAGGACATGAAACATTTTCTTTCCACGCAGCACCAATCAGCAATCATATACACATCACATGACATTCAAATTCAAATTCAAATGTAATGTGAAATGTACGCCATTTTGAAATCACATGATTTTATGTGGCGGTAGCAATGACATATGTTAATATATATACGTCAGTGGATGGTAGTGTATTGTTTGAGCTAAAACATTTGTTCGTTTGCGGGACCATGTTATCGTCTGCTGGTACTTTATGTGGCGCTAGACTTATTGTTCGACTTTAAACATTTGTTCGTCTGCGGAACCAAGTTTTTTGTCTGCACTCAACAAAAACAAAAATATCTGTTAAGTGTTTTTGGTCGTGGAGATAAGTGTTCTATTGTCTGTGCTAAGCTTAAGGGAAATTTTGTCAAGACAGTAGTGTTTCCACCTACTCTTCATCGAATACCAACTGTTAAGAGTTCTTTTAAGTGCACACAAACAGATACATGGGACCTTCTTTTTGTCCCATCTGAATGATTAGACACTGTTCCATGCCAGACCTTCCACCCTGCACTACTGTCAAAGGGGTACCAGACTGAAAAATTGGTACCAACAGTATTGTAATTTCCTTTTTAATACTGTTTTATTATAATCCTATCATTTCCAAAAAGAACACAATTCATCTGAATTTCAATGACAAACATTTTCTTTCCCTTCAAAGAAATAAATTTCTTAAGATTATATTACCTGGACCACTTGCATCTTCTGCATATCTAAACACTACAGTGGGTGTAACAATTTCAAACACTAGCTGTAATAAATAATATAAAAGTGGAAATAAAAAAAGGTGTTTAACAAATTCCAACACTGTAACAAATAATTATGGAATTAGTCCATAGCATTTTGGTAGAACGATATCCCAGTACAGGAAGATTTTTTTTGTGTAATCTAGCATATTCAGATATAGATGTCTGCCGGAGACCCCCTTCTGGGTAAATATCCATCAAAAATCTGAAATATTAAATAACTTTGAGTTTCACACAATTCGGTCAAGAACTATTCATTAGAACTAGAATTATTCATTAAAATTAAAAAATATTAAAGAGTGCACATCTTTATAGCATAGAAATGACATTTATATTTTTAATTCTTGTATAATTAAAAGCAGACTTACCAATGCATTTATAGCTCTAGAGAAAATATCTCCTAATGATGTGACATCTTTCTGTTTATCTTTTTGTTCACGACTCTATAATAAAACAATTCAAATTTTTCTAAATGCAAAGTTCGATTGGTACTGTTTTTTTATTTATTAATGATTTAATTGATACTATAAACAGTTACTGTTAAATAAATTGGAAAAACAGCACAGCTCATGAGGTGACCAACTATCCTCCCTTTCAGAGCAATAACTTGGTTTTTACAATTATCTTCTTCAGTCCACTGTAAATATTTGAAGACAATTAATGCTACCGTATTCTTCAGGAAATTAGGCTCACATTTAAATGGTACCTTTTGTCACATTAATTTATAAGCATTTACAATTCCTTTTGGGCATTTAATTTCTTGCTTTACAGTATTGGCATTTTGTGATCAACTGCCAGTGCAGATTGATTCACTGAATATACTTACAATTTGTTTAATTGCTGTTAACTTATCTATATGTTCAAACATTTTTTTAGCCTAAAAATATAAAAACAAATTTTATGTATTTCCCCCTTTTGCTGTACATAAAAACAATTACTTTTAAAACATAAATCAAAAAAAATTTATTTATCAAAATTCCTGCGAGGCCAAGCAACTTTGATCTACTTGTAGATGACAAACAAATAAATACAAGAAATGGGCGTGGCTCTGCCCCTGGTGGTCGGGCATGCACCAAAAACAATAGGGATCATCCTTAGGGTATAAGGAATAATTATGTAAAGTTTCAAGATGATCACTTAGGAATTGCGGCTTGTAGGCGCCACACACACACATAGACTGGGGAGACAGCACACAGACATACAAAAAGAAGAGGGGCGTGGCTCTGCCCCTGGGGATTGGGCATACACCAAAAACAATAGGGATCATCCTTATGGAGAGAGAGAGAAATGGGGTTTACTGTTCACTCGACACAAACTAGGTCATTTCGGGACTAACATATGGTTTAATTTTATTTCAATAATTTGTTTGCGCGTAGGGGTCTTTAGCAGTTGGAAGAAACCAGAGGACCTGGAGAAAACCCATGAGGTTGGACAGGCAACCCTACTCCTTGTCACGTCAGGGGCGACGGCAATATACGTCCATATTTTTACAACATAACAGAAGCCCTGCTTTCACAATTAAACAATCTAGCAGGATACTGTCTCTTACAGAAAGAGGTAAAACAATACTTACTAGATGAGTTGAAGCTTTAATCTTACTAATAATACCATCATGGCCTAAACTTTGTAGGCATATCCAGATAGAAAGACAACTTAATTTTAATCTGGGATTAAAGGTATTTAATCCAGCTGCTAGAGCTAATGTTGGATCAGGTGTTTTATAAAGTGTCTATCATTTAACATTAAGGATTATAAAAATATAATGAAATGTATTATATACTACCATACATGGTGTACAAGATGTTAGTGTGTAAAACATATGTTAGGTTTGTCAAATATGTTCTAAGCAAAAACAAAATTTTATGTTTAAGATGGGCCTCTCGATTTAGCATTAGTGTGTACACTAGTGTCTAGTGTCTAAACTAGTTTGATACCAGTGTTAACACTGACGGAAAATAAAACAAGAGCATCGCTAACGCAGCAATATACGTCCACATTCCTGTTTTGTTTGATATGGTCCAGTTTGCATTGAGGGTCTGTGAAATAAAACTGGGTTGTAGGACTGCTATCAGTTTAACGTTTCGTTCACATTAACAGAACACAATTTTTATTTTAAAACAATCGATGTCTTTATTCTAAAAGCATGACGTTTAGAATAGGTATCCCCATTTCAAAAGGATCGGTTAAGAATTGCGGCCTGTAGGCAAAACACAAGACACACAAACATTAGGCGTGACTCTGTCCCAAGGGGTTGAGCATGCACCAAAAATAATAATAGAGGCCAGCCTTAGGATTAAGGAATAAGTGTAAAAACGTAGCCTTAGGCTATAAGGAATAAGTCTAAAAAAAATTTCAAGATGATCGATTAAGAAATGCGGTCTGCAAGTGACACACAGACATAAAAAAAGAAAATGGGCGTAGCTCTGCCCCTGGGGGTTGGGTATTCACCACAACTAATAGGGATGTTCCTTAGGATAGAAGGAATATGTATGCTAAGTTTCAAGGTGATACGATAAGAAATGCGATCTGTAGATGACAAACAAATAAATAAATATAAGGGATGGGCGTGGCTCTACCCCTGGTGGTCGGGCATGCACCAAAAACAATAGGGATCATACTTAGGGTATAAGCAATTCATATGAAAAATTTTCAAGACGATTGATTAAGAATTGTGGCCTGTAGGTGACACACAGACATAAAAAGAAAAGAAAATGGGCGCGGCTCTGCCCCTGGGGGTAAAAAAACAATAGGGGTCATCGTTAGGGTATAAGCAATTCATATGAAAAAATTTCAAGACAATTGATTAAGAATTGTGGTCTGTAGGCGACACACACACATAGAAAAAGAAAATGGGCGTGGCTTTGCCCCTGGGGGGTGGGCATGCACCCAAAACGATAGGGATGTTCCTGAGGGTACAAAGAATAAGTATGCAAAGTTTCAAGATGATACGTTAAGAAATGCGGCCTGTAGACGACAAACAAACAAATACAAAAATGGGCGTGGCTCTGCCCCGGGGAGGCGAGCATGCACTAAAAACAATAGGGATCATCCTTAGGGTATAAGGAATAAATATGTAAAGTTGATACGTTAAGAAATGCGGTCTGTAGATGACAAACAAATAAATAAATATAAGGAATGGGCGTGGCTCTGCCCCTGGGGGTCGGGCATGCACCAAAAACAATAGGGATCTTCCTTGGGGTATAAGGAATAAGTATACCAAGTTTGAAGAAAATCCAGTAAGAATTGCGCCCTGTAGGCGACACAAAGACACACGAAAAGAAAATGGGAAATGGGCGTGGCTCTGCCCCTGGGGGTTGGGCATGTACCCCAAACGATAGGGATGTTCCTTAGGGTACAAAGAATGTGTATGCAAGATTATAAGTTAAGAAATGTGGCCTGTAGACGACAAACAAACAAATACTAGAAATGGGCGTGGCTCTGCCCCTGGGGGTCGGGCATGCACCAAAAACAATAGGGATCTTCCTTGGGGTATAAGGAATAAGTATACCAAGTTTGAAGAAAATCCAGTAAGAATTGCGCCCTGTAGGCGACACAAAGACACACGAAAAGAAAATGGGCGTGGCTCTGCCCCTGGGGGTTGGGCATGCACCCCAAACGATAGGGATGTTCCTTAGGGTACAAAGAATGTGTATGCAAAGTTTCAAGATTATTAGTTAAGAAATGTGGCCTGTAGACGACAAACAAACAAATACTAGAAATGGGCGTGGCTCTGCCCCGGGGGGTCGGGCATGCACCAAAAACAATAGGGATCTTCCTTGGGGTATAAGGAATAAGTATACCAAGTTTGAAGAAAATCCATGAAGAATTGCGCCCTGTAGGCGAACCACAGACACACACACACACATACATACATACACACACACACACACACACACACACACACAGACAGGGGCGACGGCATAATACGTTCACATTATGAATGTGGACGTATAAAAAATCACCTATAACACTTACCTTCTTTAGATAACAGAACATCCATCACATGTTATAAGTATCATGTGGCTTTCTAATATTATACAATTGAAGATTAATGTTACGCAATACCTATTCAATATATCATATTAGGTCTTCTCGATACAAAATATTTATATTTACTACACTAAAAGGATACAGCAAATGGTAGAGCTGGAATACCCAACCAACGGCTTAAATCTACTGTCATACTGTCTCCTGATTTTGCGGATTGAACAGATGAGGGCACTGAAAACATCATTAATGTGGCTAGGTTGTTTCTGAAAAAAGACAGAAATATTGACAAGATTAAAAATACACCATTGAAAATTACACATTTATGGGTTCTTAACAAATGTGGTTTTAATACTTTTAACAAATGCAAAGAACAACCCTTTTACTTTTGCAGTTTATGGCTGGACAGAACATTTGTGGTTGATGTTTATTTATATGTAGTTTTTAAAAATTTGTGGTGGGTGGTGCACAAAAGGGTCTTTAATATTTGTTTTGCTACATTTGTATTTTTGGGGATGGTTCCAAACGTCCATATTAAATGGACACATACAATGAAGGCGATTACTTTCATCTGCATAAACATGTACAACCTGGTTAAATTAAAATATGCACCCTTTTGTACTGTCTCAGTTTTACATCTACAGGTAGCTACAGAACAAAAATGATAAAAAAACCTAATTTCTATTATACAGAAGAACAGAAAAGATAGGTTGCCAGGCAAATGAAACATACACCCACAGCAGCTAAATCGTCTGGCAGTAATTATTCAAAATCGCTGGAAATGAATAGACTTCTTCGTCTCATGACCTTAAACACGGTGTATCAATTTAAAGTCAATCGGATATTAACTTTAGCCTCTAAAGCGTCCACAAGAATTTTCAAAGTGATCAAGGGCCATAACTCTGGCAGTAATTATCGGATATCGCTGAAAATCAATAGGATTTTTTGGTCTCATGACCTTAAACACTGTGTATAAATTTAAATTCAATTGAATATTAACTTTAGCCTCAAAAGTGTCCACAAGAGTTTTTGAAGTGATCAAGGAGCATAACTCTGACAGTAATTATCGGAAATCGCTAAAAAATCAATAGGCTTCTTCGTCTCACGACCTTAAACACTTTGTACAAATTTAAAGTCAATCGGACATTAACTTTAGCCTTTAGACCATCTGCAAGATTTTTTGAAGTGATTATTGGAAATCGCTGAAAAAGAATAGGCTTCTTTGTCTCATGATCTTAAACACTGTGTATAAATTTAAAGTCAATTGGATGTTAACTTTGGCCCCTAGAGCGTCCATAAGCGATTGTGGACGCCGGACCGACAGACGGACGGGGGTGACGACAATATACGACCACATTTCAATATGGGCGTATAAGAAGTACACTTACCCTTCTACATGTAGCCAGATAGAATTTGTTTTACATATTTCTTGTAAACGTTGTAGGTTATCCACTTGTCCTACTTGAGGTGTACCTGAGAATTATCAACATATAATCTACATTTTCTGCATACACATTTCAAATTGAAGGTACATTATAACTTGGACATTTTAAGTGTTTCGAAGACATAAATAAATCAAGGACTGGTTTATAGTACACAACGAATTGTAGTCAGTGGAAAAATTAAAAATTTAAACATGCTGTCAGACAATGAAATTTAGGCCCAATATTAGTTCTGGTGTCAGAGCTACTTTGGCTACATTAGAATACAGCGTTGAGTGAAAAAAATGAAATGAAATGGGTTCAAGATCCTACTTTTTTGTACTCACTATACAGTGTGCTATGAGGGAAATTTGCCCGTATAGCTACACTAGTATATGCTACTCTTATTTCGAAGGGTTATTTTACGCGCATGGCAAAGTGTACACAGAACCTTGGTTTTTTTTGTCCAATCAGAATAACTAGACGCTGTTCCTTGTCAGATGAAATATTGAAAATTCAGATACTTTTTGCTAAATAATTTAAATAACTGACCTGCATAGCCTATAACTAAGGTTGGCTTTTTAGCTGCTGAAATATCATCTTGAATGAGCTTTTCTAACATTGAAACATCCTGAATAATATTAGTTTATAGTTATGAAACATTTTTTGTGCTAAATTTTTGACGAAAAACATTGAGAAATAATATCTTTCAATAAAAAATGAAATGTTATCATGAAAAATAGAGAGAGAGAGAGAGAGAGAGAGAGAGAAATGGGGTTTAACGTCCACTCGACACAAACTAGGTCATTTCGGGACTAACATATGGTTTAATTTTATTTCAATAATTTGCTTGCGCGTAGGGGTCTTTAGCAGTGGGAGGAAACCGGAGAACCCGGAGAAAACCCACGAGGTTGGACAGGCGACCCTACTCCTTGTCACGTACAACCAGGGATTCGAAACCACACAGGGCTGTCGGTAATTTTTCACAGTTGATTAGCTGCACTGCTAATCAAAAAGTCCAATTTTGCCAAATTTGATTAGCAAATTTAAAAATTGATTAGCAGTTTTTCAGTTTGAACATAAAACACCTAAATAACAAGATATTACTTTAGTTCATAACAAATATGATTAGATTCCATTCTTACTATTCTTAGATTTTTTTAGCACTGCCACAAGTACTTGTGACAGTTTGTGAATGTGATGTAGACATTTAGTTAGGTCTTATGTCTGAAGCCAATTCTTAACAGTGACTTCCGAAGCCCCAATCATTTTAATTGTTATTTTTTGTAACGTTAGAAATCTTCGTTAGAAAACAATTTCGTCTGCTTTTTATCGTGTATTGCTACTTTTGTTAAATCGGGCGCACTTCGATTAACTAGACACACGCGATATTTTACGGGAATTTTTACTTTGATTTATCATTTTACAATACGTTAACATATATTTATTTTTTTATATTTTATTTACAATACATGGGGGATACACTGGATTTATTTCTTTCAAAATGAATATGATATAATTACTTGATGTCTCGCAACGTGAGTGGTACTACCTGATTCCCTATTTCCGGTTTAATAGTCCTTATTCATAGAGTTATGTCCCTGTATTATATAGTACCGTATAATGAATTGTGTCTGGGTAGTTCGAGTAGAAAATGTCACTCGGAGAATTCAGTTTTGTTTATAAAATTTTATTCAACATTTTATACACATTGAAAGTGTTGAAAAAGCCTTCTAGTCTTCAAATGCGGATTATCCTTGTGTCAATATCCAAAATGACAGGCATATTAATGATTCGCAGTTACTGCGAATCAAAAGCTTTAGAGTTTAATTTTTGATTAGCAACGGACAAAATATGTATCGCAAATTGCGCTGCGATACTGGTTATCGGCAGCCCTGAAACCACACCAGTTGACTCAATGACAGGCCTTATGATATAGCACGCACATGCTAACCATTCGACCATCCAACTCCCCCTTTCAATAAAAAAGAAATCTTTCTAAAATAAATATTTTTTAAAACAAAGGTTTGAGTCTTTATAAAATTGCATTTCTATATTGGCCCTAAGGACTCCTAGCCCTATTTTATTAACAAATATAAAGTTATAATTAAATCAAAACTGCATTAAATATTTGAAAATAGCTCAATTTTTACCCTGTAAACTACCCTGCTCTGCCTCTAGATTATGGATATTCTTTATATAGACGACAAATTAAATGCTTAAACCTACAGACAAATGGACAGGTGCCAAATATGAACAAAATGAAATGAAATGAAATGGGGTTTAACGTCCTACTGTTCTGCTCCTAACCTGGGTTAATGAAGACGGGCATACGCCATACAGTGTGCTATGAGGGAAATTTTGCCCTGACAGCGGCAATACGGTCTACTCTTAAATCGTATTCCAACTGCCAAGGGGTTTTTTACGTGCACGCCAATGTGTACACGGGACCTCGGTTTTCCGTCCCATCCGAACGACTAGACAGCCTTCCTTGTCAGGCCCTCCGTCTTGCATCACTGACAAGGGGAAACCATGCCGGAAAATCGGGATGAACTTTCTCGGCCAATGCAGGTATCGAACACCTGACCTCCAGGCTAGCGTGCCAGCGTCTTACACACTTAGCCACCGTGATCCCCAAATATGAACAAGGTTGGGATGTTAGCTTCACATAAGTTAAGAATATGAATGCCTAAACATTAAAATGTTTTAATCAATAGAATCTCCTTTAATAAATGTAAGATGATTCTCTAATGTTTTACAAAATTATACTTCACTATAAAAGAATGCATATTCTTAAATCATCAGATGTTCCTATCCATAAGTGGAATATCTCTCAAAGTATTACTGAAACTATTAACCAGCAGCTGCCAGACAGATACGCCCACATTTTGCAAAAGATGGATAGAGAACAAGCTAAACAAAAAGAGATTTTTCGTACAATCAAGGGCCATAATTCAGGAGGTTACGATCTGTTATGCACAAATATTGACAGGAACCAAGATATTTGTGATATAATGTTATATTTCAAGTTTCATCAAAATCGGGTCTACATTGTGTCCTCTAGAGGGTATACCATATATTTACACTATTTGCGTACGAGGGGCGGCCATTTGGTACGGCAGTTTTGGTCCAATTTTCACAAACTTTGATCTCAACCATCATTAGGGTGTAACTGTGATATATTCAAACGTTTTTTCAATCGTATAAAAATTGTGATCTCTAAAGGAACCACAGGCTAAAAATATAAATCAAGTGCCATAATTCAGGAAGTTATAATCCGATATGCACAAATATCGAAAGGAACCAAGATCTTTGAGTTATAAACATGAATTTCAAGTTTCATCAAAATCAGATCAAAATTGTGGCTTCTAGAGGGTCCACAACCTTGATATACCATATATTTACACTATTTGCGTAGGAGGGGCAGCCATTTTGTACGGCAGTTTTGATCTAATTTTCCTGAGATTCAAATTCAACCATCATAAGGGTGTAACGGTGATATATTCAAACATTTTTTTTTTAAATCAGATAAAAATTGTGACTTTTAGAGGAGCTAAAAACATGATTTTTCGTACAATCAAGGGCCATAATTCAGTAAATTACGATCCGATATGCGAGAATATCGAAAGGAACCAAGATCTTTGAGTTATAAACAGGAATTTAAAGTTTCATCAAAATCAGATCAAAATTGTGGCTTCTAGAGGGTCCACAAACTTGATATACCATACATTTACACAATTTGCGTACAAGGGTCAGACATTTTGTCTGGCAGTTTTGGTTCAATTTTCACGAAATTCAAACTCAGCCATCATAAGGGTGAAACAGTGATATATCTATTTTTAAATCGGATAAAAATTGTTACCAGAGGGACAACAAGCTAAGAATGTGATGTTTCGTACAATCAAGGGACTTAATTCCGTAAGTGATGATCCGATATGAGCGAATATCGAAAAGAAACAAGATCTTTTGGTTATAAATATGCATTCCAAGTTTCATCAAAATCAGATGAAAATTGTGACCTGTAGAGTGTCCACAAGCTAAAAACTTGATTTTTCATACGATCATGGGTCATAATCCATGAAGTTATGGTCCAAATTATGCCAATACCGAAAGGAACCAAGATCTTTGGGAGATCGAATAAAAATTGTGACCTGTAGAGTGTCCACAAAGAAATTGTGGACGGAATTCCAGACGAACGACAATATACGTCAACATGAAAATGTGGGCGTATAAAAATCATTTGGCTTCTTGTCTCATGAACATATAATTACTGTGGGTAATTTTCCATACAATTGAATGACAACTTTAGCCTCTAGAGCATTGACAAGTATTGTGGATGATATAACATGGGTGACAACAATATACATGATTACAAGTACAAGCACATTTAAATGTGCGCATATAAAAACACTTACCATTTTACTGACACCTCCAAACATAGTGTTACATGGTACTGTACATATACAAGAAAATGGTAAACCAAGCTGTAAAACAATTATTAACATGAAAAGATAGTAAAACAAATAACTAATTAAAGATACATTATGGGAGATTAAATAGAGAGCTGGCAGTTCTCACTATAATAGTTAAAAACTAGATAATGTAAAGGGGATTTGCTGAAAATTTCAGTCAAATTGATCCGCTCTGAACCAAGATTTTAGCGATTGAATATTAGGGCTAGCCTCGATCATCATTACTAAAGTAATTAATCATGAATGGAAGTCGAACAGCAAATCGAAAGCTAATCCAATAAACATTGCAGGCTAGCGATGCCATCCAGAGTTGATTATGGTCTGGATAAGTTAATTAATGTCTACTTAATAATTTAGATAACATTTCAGGCCTAAAGAAAGACGTGCAATTGGCAGATTTAGCTCTTGCATAATGTATGTTTAACCTTCTCTGGAAAAATTAAAATTTATTCTAGTCACATTTTTCTCTTTTTTTTCAAAGAATACTTTTAGTTTACTATCATGTCTAAAATATAGAGAATTCATACTTTAGACCCCATTGTTCATTTTCTGTGGTTGAATGAAGGCATTATAAGAATGCATCATACCGATATTTTATGGTGTCTTCCAATAATTTGAGGGTCATCTCAAGATACAGAGAGTATCCAGGTTGGCAATGGGTTAAAGATGGATGGTATGACTTCTGTGGTAAAATGTATTTTACTAACCTGTAAACATAGATGATGTCCTAAACCAGATTTAGCTGCAGCACTTATATATATAACAGGTGGACGAGAATATAAAGCATCATAACCTTCTGTGGCATATTTAGGAAACTTCTGATACATAGCCAGACGACATACCTTTACTAAACCGTCTCTATCTTCTTCATGATATATCACTGATGAATCAGTAAATCTAAAATACAGAAAAACTATCCTGAATAAAGTGGAGGGGGCTAGCTTGAACACATCTCATAAAATAAACAAGTAGCGAAATCACATATGGCACAATATTTTCATTTTGCTGTCTTAAAAGGTTTAAGAGAGATAGAAAAAGAAGAATCTGATTCCAAATACACAATTAAATACTGCGATAGGGCAGGTCCATATTGATATAATATTCTAATATGGCTAGATATATTTTGATTTCGGTACATAGCGATGTATTATTTATGTACTCCTTTAAGGGCCCTTGAGTTGAGCTCCAAATTACCTTCTAAATCCACATAATGTAGTATATTATTTAATCATACCTGAACAATCTGGATAGCCAAAGTTCACAGTCAGATGTTATCTTGGCGGTAAACTTTTTTAAATGTTCTTCATCTAGTGTGGAAATGTAAGCTACAATACTGTGCGCTAGTACTGAGGCCTGACCATGTTTGTCTAAATGTTGAATCTTTGCACATCTGTTCAAGCACAAAATATCACATACAGTAATTAACTTTATAATGAATGAATGAAATATGGTTTTATGGCACGTCAGCTCCAACCGGGCTATATTGCGCCAAACATATGGTGAATCTGAGACAAATTAAAACAATATCACATAAATGAATTTATATATGTAAATAAAAACAAATATCACAGAAAATATATTAATTAAAAATAAATATAACAAATCTTTTACATATATAAATATTTAGAACGATATACATGATTAAATATATACAATTAAAATTGATTATAAAAGTTTGTCTCTTTTAAAAATGTTAGCACTTTGTCATATAGCTCCGGTTGAGCAAATAGCTGACGTACTGACTGGCAACGGTAATATTTAGATCTAATGTTCTTGAGATGTTTGCACTCAATCAAGATGTGTTTCACTGTCAAAGGAACATGACAGTGAACACATTCCGGTTGAGGCTCTCGCTTCAAAATGAAAATATGAGTTAAAAAAGTATGACCAATGCGAGAGCGACACAAAACAACTTCATCCCTCCTGTTGGTTCTATAGGAGTTGGGCCAATCTCCTAGGAGAGGCTTAATGTGATGAAGTTTATTTGTGCCTGCAAAATCCCAAGACCGTTGCCAGCGGTCATAAATAAAATGATTTATACACGAATTAAAATCTTTATATGGTATTAAAAAGGGTGATTGGGGAAGATCTAAAGCAGCTTTGGCAGCAAAATCTGCTTGATCATTCCCCCTTATATCTACGTGACTGGGGAGCCAGCAAAAGACGACGTCTTTACTGTTGAACTCGTATGATAATAGCAGATGATAAACATCTGCTACTAATGGGTGTTCAAGCTGTTTGTTGTTAATTGCTTGAAGCGAGGACAGAGAATCAGTAAAGATGATATACTTTAAAGATGAAGAGGATTGTATGAACTCCAAGGCCTGAAGAATGGCCTGGAGCTCAGCTGTAAATATTGAAGCAGCAGGTGGAAGACACACAGAAATGGTCTCAGATGGCGTCACGGTAGCCGAGGCTACCCGATCACCATCTTTAGAACCATCTGTGTAAATAGGAGCATAATCACCATACTTAGACCTTAACTCTCTAAAGAGAGATTGGAACACCGTAGAGCTAGTATCTCTCTTTTTATGTTGAGTTAGATCGAAATCGATCTTTGGGGGAGATATAGCCCACGGTGGAGTCCTAAAGACAGGGGTATTCGCAATACTGTCAAGGCTAATACCAGCCTCAGACAAAAGGGGTTGTATGCGAATACCGAATGATGGAATAACATTAGTCTTCACCAGATACAAATGCTCATAAAGAGGTCTAAATATGGTGTTAAATGAAATGTGATTTGGAAGTGATGCTATTTTCGTAGCATACTGCAGGGCCAGTTTATCACGTCTGTTGTGCAATGAGGGCTCATGCGCCTCGACGTATAAACTGTCCACTGGAGATGTACGAAATGCTCCTAAACTGATTCTAAGTCCCTGGTTGTGTATGGTGTCGAGCTCTTTGAGATAAGACTCGCGGGCTGACCCATACACAATACACCCATAATCGAGTTTTGATCTTATTAAAGCTCGATATAATCGGAGCAAGACCTTACGGTCTGCTCCCCAGTCAGTATTTGATAAGACTCTCAATATGTTGAGGGCTTTCAGACATTTCTTTTTTAGGCTTTTAATGTGGGGGATAAATGATAATTTCTTATCAAATATCAGCCCCAGAAATTTGGTTTCATCCACAACTGGAAGGCGGTTGCCATCCAAATAAAGTTCTGACAGAAATGCATGCAGACAGTCTTGGATTTCGAAAAACGAAATCCATTTTCGGTTGCCCATTGTTGAAGTGAATTCAAACAAAGCTGCAACTTACGTTCGATTATCCGCATGTCTGTAGAACCATAGCACATCTGAAAGTCATCAACATAAAGAGCGCCGTTTGTACCTGGTTTAAGGCACGCTGGGATAGTATTAATTTTAATTGCAAACAATGTTGGAGATAAAATACTTCCCTGTGGAACTCCCATTTCCTCAGGAAATGGGTCAGAGAATATTGATCCCAGTCGTACCTTAAATGACCTATCTTCCAGGAAATTTTTAATGAAGATAGGTAAGCGACCTCGTAGGCCGAGGTTATGGAGGTCGCGCATGATACCGTGTTTCCACGTTGTATCATATGCTTTCTCCAGATCAAAAAATATTGCAACTAAATCTTGCTTCTGGATGAAAGCATCCCTGACGAACGTTTCAAATCGAACGAGATGATCAAGAGTGCTCCTTTGGGACCTAAATCCACATTGGAGGTCATTAATGAGGTTGTTGGACTCTAGGTACCAAACAAGCCTTCGATTGATCAATCTCTCCATGGTTTTGCAAATACAGCTAGTTAAAGCGATCGGACGATAGTTGGTAGGATTCGTATGGTCTTTACCGGGTTTAGGGATGGGAATTATTGTGGCTTCATGCCACGAAGGGGGGAATTTCCCATCAACCCAAATCCGGTTAAAAAGATCCAGTAAAATTAAGAGAGTGGAAAAAGGTAAATGTTTAAGAATTTGGTAGTGTATTTCATCTGGCCCAGTTGCAGTATCTCGAGCTCGCTTTAGCGAATCCCGAAGCTCTGCAATGGAAAAGGTATCATTATAGCATTCATCATTGCGGGACTTGAAATTAAGTCGCCTTTTCTCCTGTTGTTGTCTAATGCCTCGAAAGGCATCGGAGGAGAAATTGGATGATGAATTAAATGAAAAAGTACTGGCCAGAGAATTAGCAATATCAGGAAATGTTGTTAAGGTGGTATTATCAACATTTAAATGATTAACTGATAATGCACTTCTTTTACCTTTAATCCTACGAATCCTATCCCATACCGACTTTGATGTGGTACGGGAATTAATCCTTGAGACGTAACCTTGCCATGAAGATTTCTTTGCTTGACGTATGGTTCTACGAGCCTTCGCCCGGACCATCTGGTATGCCGCAATATTCTCCATGGAAGGATGGTTCTTTAATCGCCTCAGGATGCGATCACGCTCTTTAAGAGCGGATTTGCAGTCATCGTTGTACCATGGTTTATTGAAACGTTTTGGTGTAGTCGTGGTTTTTGGAATCGCCTGCTCAGCCACATCTTGAAGAATTGAAGTGAATAAGGCCATGGGCTCATCTGCATCTTCTAACTCCTTTGTATCAAAAGAGAAGAGACACACAGGTTCGAAAAGAGCCCAATCGGCCTTATGCAACTTCCACCTCTGAGGTCTTTCGACCGGAGAGGGACCATTATTATCAATCAAGATAGGAAAGTGGTCACTACCACATAGATCTTCATTTACCCTCCATGAAAAATCCTGAAACAGGACCGGAGAGCAAATGGTGAGATCTAGGGAAGAAAAAGAAGCTGTGGCAGGATGTAGATAAGTAGGCGAGTCATCATTTAATAAACACAAATTATTAATGTTAATGAAGTCCGCTATTTGTTTACCTCTGTTGTTATCATCTGGACTACCCCAGAGCGAATGATGACCATTGAAATCCCCCGTAATAATAAACGGGAGAGGAAGCTGTGCAACAAGGTCATCAAGATCTCTGGGATTAAGATGTAAACTGGGTGGAAGATATACAGAGCAGAGTGTTAGAGGAATATGCAAAGTCACCCTAACTGCAACTGCCTGTAAAGGCGAGTTGAGGGTGACTTGACTCTGAGGAATATCTCCATTAAGAATAATAGAAACACCCCCATGAGCCCTACCATCACCAACTGAGTGATGATGGTAACCAACAAAATGTCTAAAAGACAAAGTGTCAGAATTCTTTAAGAAGGTTTCCTGTAAACAAATAGCTAAAGGATTGTATTTTTGGATTAATAATTGAACTTCATTAAAATTTGGTTTTAAACCACGACAATTCCATTGAATAATGGAATTTACCATTGTCAGGGAAATTTAAGTTTTGGCGGCTTACTGAGTGGGTCCACATGGACATCCACTACAGTAATGTCGTCCATCAGATCATCCCCATATTTATTGAAGAGAGTGATAGGGTTTTTTGAACCCTTTGAATCTTTCTCTCGAAATTTTGATAAATTTTTATGTCTTTTAGAATGCACTATATTCTCCTTTGCGGATGGTATACTCTTAAACTGCACCCCTGACCCAGTGGAACTGGAATCAGCAGCGTCAGCTTTAGAGTAGTGCAAGGGAGAAGCCCCCTTGCCATTTTGTGTGGGAGTATTGGGAATAATCTCAATATCTCTAGATGGAGGTAAGGAGGATACAACCTCATCAGGTAGAGGGGTAGTGCTTTGAGTCGAGCTCTCAGTGGCGCTCGAAACCCCTTTTATATGATCTGATGTAATAGTCAAAGTCTTAGGTTTTTTCTGCTTATAAGGCCAGGTTATATCTGTTTGAACAGATATGGTTTTAGAAGAGACTTTAACTGCACTTGCAAAAGACTTCCCTTCAGATGGAATGGGAAAAAGTGCAGTCAAATCTACCTGTTTTCGAGCATCAAAGTATGGTATTTTCCGCTCTGACATAACCTGTTGGATTCTCTTCTCTTTCTGCCATATTGGACATTCACGGGAATAAGCAAAGTGCTTTCCCTTACAATTTACACAACAAAACTCAGCCTGGCAGGTAGCGCTATCATGGCCTTCATGGCCACAACGAGCGCAGGTGTCTTTACCTCTGCAGACAGTTTTGCTGTGTCCAAACTTTTGGCACTTGTAGCAACGAAGAGGGTTGGATATGTAGGAATCCACAGGTATGTTTAAATAACCTGCCTTGAGAGTCTTTGGTATGTCGGGACGATTGAATGTGAGGATGTAGGTGCTTGTTGGAATCACCTTATCTCCTCGACGAACACTAATTCTTTTGACGTGTTGTACACCTTGAGAAGAAAGGTATTCTACCATTTCTTCCTCACTGCTGCCTTCAAGGTCCCGGCAACGTATTACACCTCTACTAGAATTTAAAGACCTATGGGGAGACACCTTAATAGGAATGTCTGCCAAAGACGATGATTTAAGGAGCATGGTAGCATGCTGTTCTTTGGCACATTCTATTAAGAGTGTCCCGTTCTTTAGTTTTTTAATAGCCTTGGGCTCACCGGCCAAACCAGCTATCCCCTTAGCTATTAAAAATGGCGACACTTTCGAAAGGTCTTTAGAGGGACTCTCAATTAAGAGAAACCTCGGCCAAGACTTTGACATTTTACTATTATTTTTAAATATATTTGAAACGTCCTCGGAATTAGGACGTTTCTGCTTTTGTCTTTCAATTGTTGGGGTTGGGGGGATTGGGGAATCCATGAAGTAATTTTTTTATGATTCACCCCTCGTCGTCCCCCAGGTTACTTCCCTGCCTACCAGGGGGAGGACTAGCGCGGATAACCTGCGCATGGCCTCAGGGCTCGACGAGGGGTATACTCAAGCCAGAAAGTAAAAAACTTTTCTAACCTGATTGACCCAAGCCGCCGCTCTGTACAATGTACTAGGACACAAAGGTAGTAATTGCTGAGTGAATAAACAACAGAGCATTAAACTGGGAAAGGGTACATCCTACAGAGCTAAAACGACCAAAGCCGATTGATCAGAGTGGGCCACTCTGACCTCCCGTCTAGGTGAACCATGGGCCAAAGTAATGTGTTGCAGAGAAAGGGCTCGCAAGCCAAATCCCCACTCAATTACCAGGATTCCACTCTCCACCAACACGGGTCGCAACGCACGGCAAACACGTTGCCCCATTACAGGGATCCTTTTAGTCGCCTTTTACGACACGCAGGACATACGAAGGGTATATTCTTATCACCCCCTACACCCCAGGGGGGAATTAACTTTATAAAATACCACAATCAAAGCAAGCTTTCTGAAGTATCCCTAAACCGTCTGCCCCCATAAAATCTTTAAAACCATGTCCGTCTTCATTAGCCCAGTCAGAGTTGAACAGTAGGACCCCATTTCATTCATTAAAACCATGTACAGTACATGTTCACTATTTTTATCTGTAGTCAACTTTCAGTATTTTGAAATGTCCCCCAACTTCACAACAACCAAGAATTTGTTCAGACATGTTTTCCAACTGAAAGTTTAATGCAGAAATAAAAGTTGATTTGCAGTAGATAATGCAATGGAAGTGCTAATTCAGTGGTGCTGAATTTCACCTGGTTTAAATTTGTGATTAGTCTATGTTTCAATCTTACCTCTCTCTTTTTTCATCAGCTACTTCATCCCCGATATCATCATATGTAATTAATTCTTCTACTGTCTGCATTATAATTTCTATCTTCTGTCCACTGTAAATACAAGAGCCCAACACTATATGTATGTTATCTTCTTTCTCAACAAAAAATTTTCCTAGGAGATTTAGTTTTTGCAAGAAAAAAATTTGCAGAAAGAGACATAAATTAAATTGTTGATCGGTTAGACATATGCAGTCAACATTTTTCACCTGAATTTTTAACCAAAATATTAAGTGGTGTATTTGTTATTTGTTAGTGTGATTGCCCTTGTCACTGAAAACCTGTAAACACTCTACAGGTCAGAATTTTGAGAGCATTTTTTCATATACTTGCTGTGATGTTCCTTTATAATGGAGTTATTGTTCATCTGACTTATCCCAGTATACTGTGATAACATTAACTTCCTAGAAAGCTGATGGTGGGAATATTGATTGTCACAAGGGCAATAACTCAATTAATAATCATTGATAGTCTTAGATTCTGGATAGGGTTCATCCTTATGATAACTTAATTCAGTTTCAAACGTGTTTCAAACGTATTTACAATGTTTCCAAGGTAAGAGCAATAACTCCATAAATAATCATGGCAATGCACTGATTATCGTTATGGTTCATCCTTATTTATGATGACAAAATTGATCTAAGCACGTGTCAGAACATGTCATCAAGTAGTATAGTTCCCTAATGAGAATAGACCATTCTGGACAATTATATATGATGACATTAAAATGAGGTTGTATAGAAATAAAGATTTATAATCACCAATAATGCATAATTACAATATATACTCACCTGCCTTTTAAGGCTTCTGGAATATGTGCTGTCATAGTTTTACGAAGTCTGTCTTTCCGCTCATTCTCCATCTGTCTGAAGTGAGCAAAAGTATATATAGAAGATATAGTAACGGTAATGAAGGTTAAGCACCCAAAAATACATCCAAAACAACTTTTAAAAGCAAGGTAAAACAGTAGCCTGCCATGTAAGTCACAGAGGAGCAATATATCAATCTCAAGAATTAAAGAGTTTTCACAACATCTTAAATGCAGAGACATGAATCACAATTTTGATGAAGAGTTTTACCTATTACAAGCTTCAAACAAAATTTAAAAATATGTTGCCAGCTCCTTAAACCATTTCACGATTATTGCTATCAAGATTTAATTACAAAGTGCATAACTCTAGTCATGACTTTAAATTGAAAATCAATAATAAATTAATAAGGTACATGTACATGCAAATGTTCCATATTAAGCATACTGCATGTTTATTACAAACAGAATATACCTTAACAGACATTGTTTTAACATGTATATTATGCTCACTGGCAAAGCCTATGTGTACATGTATTAATAATAATTACACCGATTGTGTTCATATGGTTTGTTGATCTCACTTCCCCATCATTTTCTATTATAGTAGTTGTATGGTGAGATTCTGTACCATCTTGTCAAAAATCTAGTGCAATGCAGGATATCAATCTATTGTATCATATTTATCATAAAACCTTATCATACAAGTTTGTATTATTTGTCATAATCTTTTTAAAATAATCATACGAATATGACACATTTTAAATACTTCAGGCATGCAACATTATTACCGTGTAGCCTATCATGCTAGAGATACAACAAACAGGAAGGAATGTGTAAAAAATCAAATGTTATCATGAAAAATAGAGAGAGGGAGAGAGAGAGAAATGGGGCTTAACGTCCACTCGACACAAACTAGGTCATTTCGGGACTAACACATGGTTCAATTTTATTTCAATAATACGCTTGCGCCTAGGGGTCTTTAGCAGTTGGAGGAAACCGGAGGACCCGGAGAAAACCCACGAGGTTGGACAGGCAACCCTACTCCTTGTCACATACAACCGTGGAATCAAAACCCCGTCAGTTGACTCAAGGACAGACCGTATGACGGTATGATACAGCGCAGCACCCACATGCTAACCATTCGGCCATCCAGCCCCCCTTCATGAAAAATAATCTTGAGGTTTATGATTGAAAAATTGTGAATTGTAATAGGCTACGTCATTTCAATGCATATGATCATATATTAAAAAATACCATAGAGATCTGTGCCCTGTTACAAAGTATCTAGTTCATCTTCACAAATTTAAAAATAACTCTTTGATCTTGGTTAAAAATAAGAGGGTTATTTATGCCCCAATAAACAATCCAACAGAATTTTAAAAAACATATCATTAAGAACTTAGTACTGCATTACTTTCACAAGCTGTTCAAAGGGATTATAAAGATACAAATTGTTTACACAGGACAGACAAACTTTTATAGAACTGATAATACATATGTCCCTTGTGCACACAGCCATTTCTAAAATGGAAACTCTCTTAAATAACATTAACTGATGTGAATTTATATAAGGCTTAAATACATGTATTACATTCATATTCATAAGCATGATAAACAAATTCAAGGGTAAACTGCTTCTTAGTTCTTAATCATGGAATTAGTCAGTAAGGTGGGAAGCAAGGGTGTTATATACCATGTATCTTTCCCTATAATTACCACAAACAACTCCATTTGGTCATCAAATTTTTACTAATGGCTGTTTTAATCTATACGACCTGTGTACTTTCTAACAAGTAAGTTTACACAACAAAAATACAACATCCTACTAAAAGTGACTGTGTTTGTGCTATGATCTAATTAATGTCTTAACATATTTGACTTTTTAGCTAATTATTGTTCATGAACACGTAAATTTCCTTACTGATTTATTCTGTCTAGAATTTCGGTATTTGTTCGAACATTTTTCTCCATTTCAGCTAGCATTGGATTCATGAAATACTGTAAGAGAAAATAAAATGAAATAAATATATTAACGCAAATTGCAATATTGTCTGTTTTAAACCCTATGATTCCACTTCAAGTAAAATCTCTTATCCTACAAGTGGAGAAAGTTCTTCAGGATTTCCTGTGTGGTTTCCTCTTGCAGGATGGAGGGCCTAGCTGATGGAACTGTGGACAGTACGTCATTACAATGGGATGGAAAAACTGAGGACCAGTGTACACATAGCGTGCATGTCTTAGAACCCTTGACAGTTCGAATTTGAAATAAAGGTATGCCACAGTACTAGTGCTGCTGATCGGGCAAAAATTACGTCATAGCACACTGCATGGCCTATACATATCTTCATTAAATTTGAGCCCAGTCGCTTCATAAAAGTAGGATGTTAAATCCCATTTAATTTCATTTCAGTATGATCATTAATTAAGCACACATATGTTGTTTGAGTGTTTATAATGAATGCAGCAAAACAACTTCTGCATACCGTAATGTAACTGTAAATATCATTCGTTATATAGAGTTTTTCCACTGGCCATGCTCGACGTACAGTTCACAAGATTTCATGTGTCATTACCTGCAAACGTCAACCATAGTAAGCTAGCAATCGCTTTTAAATATTAACCATTTCGATTGAAAGAGAAGATTTGTGTCCTTGTCACATACTATGTTTTGTGGTGTAGAATCATTTCTTGCTGGAAGTTTGAACAATATGACAGTTTAGTCATGCCATTGTGATTCTATTGACGATACAAATGTCAGATAGGATAGAGAATCTAGAGGTATCTAAATAACTTCATTTTATATTTCCGTGTGATGCTTCAGTTTCACCTAACAATAGTAAAATTAAGAACTAGACATTGGGCATTGGGATGTGTTTTTGTAGATGCGTGTAATCCACAAAGTTTGTGATAAGAAGATGCGCTTAATCAAGGGGAAAATATAACGCAAAGACTAACTCAATACCATTATATGATTTACTTTTAGGTGTTCAAAAGGGCAATACATGTACATCACTACATCTATATACTATATGTACCGGTGTTACATGTACATCAAATAAGAAAACACAAAATTGCAGTCATTGTTAACAAAGTCAAAGCAATTCTACCATCGAACTCTCTAGATCCATAATTTGGCCTGTACTACCCTGTAGTATTAGCATAGATAGTATATAGTACTACAAGTGACAGTGTAGATCTAAACTTATTATTTTTTTTAAAAAAAAAACAAAAAAAAACAAAACAATATAGACTATATTTATATTACCTGGTTGAAGTTCTGTTCTAGTGAATGGGCAGGCACCGTAACATTCGCTGTCGGACTAGGTGCTTTATTTTCTTGTTCAAGAGATTCAGTGATAGATGAGTTCATTGTTTTGATTTCGCTAGCAGATGACGCTTGGGCCATTTTCAGTTATTTAGGCCTACCGTATATTTACACGCTGGCAAGTAGATGTTAATCGTTCGCGTTGTCGTAAATCCGAAGCAAAGCGATCACATCATGGAAATAAAAGGTTCAGATTTATATAAAACATTTATATTTATTTTGTATTTTATTCTAGGGCTATCCACGCTAATGAATACTTCATCTGTTGTCAGTATGAACAGATAACAGTGTTTATGCATATTTACGACAACTGTTAATTATTGTCAGAACAGGTAACAGGTTGTCGAAAACTTTGTCGAAGTTTATAAATCAGTTCGAGTTCTAAGAAAAGTAATTGTTTATGTTTGTAAGTTTTGTATCAACTTCATTAATGCATATATTGGTTTTGTTATTGTTGGTTTTTTTTGCGTTGGGTTTTTTCTATTCGTCGGTTTTAAAAACCATATTTTCAGTACAGGTAATTAATTTAAAGAGACATTACCATTGCCAGTTATGGCTAGATCTATGCCATTTTATTTTCAATAGAAATTAGAAAATGAATGACGGCCAAAATTAGATTAGATCAGAATATGGGTAGGGATTTTAAAAATTATCCACTGGTTTGAGGGCGCGTCAATTTACCCAATAACACCCAATAACTTACTTATATACTTAGTATAGCTACGAGAACATAGCTAAAATTAAAAACGTTGAGATATGTGCTTGTTTTTTTTAACCTAGGATTGGGTGCCTTTAGTTCCAAGTGGCAAACTCAGTTTCTTTATTAATGCATGTAACATCTTAAAAATAAAGTAATTTTATACTAATATTATGACTATATAATTAAACTTACAGAGGCCAATGTATGTAGTGGCACAACTAGTTCAGCTCTGAACGTAAGTCTCATTACACTCGCCCTGTACATTCAGGAACAGTCTTATTGAATCCTTGTCGAAACTAAAATAGTACTCAGTCAATTTTACTGGGCAACTTTTTACTGCTAAACGGTCATGTGTCAGTCTCTGTGAACGCCTGTACAATGTAAAGGAACATCTTAGTGAGAAAATAAGACCTTGCTTACCTCGCTAGAGTCAGTATGAGCGACACAACACACTGTTAAAATTACGTACCTCCTACCAAGTTGCCTTTTCGCTGGTATGACACTATAAATATTGGTCAATGTCCTGTTCGATCCCTGCAATGGCCGAGAAAGTCCATTCAGATTTTCCGGCGTGATTTCCCCTTGTCAGTGATGCAGGATGGATGGTCTGACAAGGACAGCTGTCTAGTTGTTCGGATGGGACGAAAAACCGAGGTCCCGTGTACGCATTGGCATGCATGTAAAAGATCCCTTGGCAGTTGGAATTCAATATAAGAGTAGGCTGTAGCGCCGCTGCCCAGGAAAAAATTTCCCTCATAGTACACTGTATGGCGTATGTCTGTCTTCAATAGCCCAGGTTAGGAGCAGAACAGTAGGACGTTAAACCCCATTTCATTTCATTTTAGTCAATGTCCATATTTAGGAATGACGGCCATACAAGACGAAACGAAATTTAGGTAAATTTATATTAAAATAGATTTTAGTCACTTAAGTATCATAAACATTTTACATTTCAAAAATGCTACAAAACGTTGTGGTAATATTGATTTCTGAATTTCAGATGTCCAATGTTGAGGCGATAGCTTAAATTAATCATCATGAAAACTGACACAGATGTTCTATTTTCGAGGAAGCGTACCGGTCAAATGGACCCAACAGTCAACATTTCAAAGGCTGTTTTGATATGTAACATGTTCCATTTCTTTTTTGCTGCAAGCAAAGCTTGTCTGTTGCCTTTTTTGACCATATTTCTGCGTTTATTGGGGATGTCAGCCACAGAAACTGGAGTAGTGATTGCTCTAAAGACAATAACTGGGTTTTTTGGGGCACCAATCTGGGCAAGATGTGCTATATCGTATAATAAGAGGCGTTTTGTTTTGATGTGTTCAGTATTTATGTTTGCAGCTTCTTACCTCTCATTAACTGTTTTATATCAACAAACAACACACTATAAAACCTGTAATAATACAGGAAATGAAAATAACAGGTTGATCATTCCATCTTTTTTTGAACCCCTATTTAATAATTCTCATGAGTTAAAACCTCAAACAAAACCTACCATAATGCCTTCACCGATTACCACTGTTACAGAACCTGTATTATCATCTTCAACACATAAACAACCAACTCTTCCAACCACAACTAAGGCAAAAGCTACAACTGTGCCATCAACTACAACACCATCATCACATGTAGAAACATCTACGTCCCGTACCAGTACAATCAACACAACTGAAATCAACAAGTATTCCACTAGTGATCAGCTACAACTAATTGTCAAAGATTTAATTTTAAGTATGAACTTGACCACAGAAAAATTGAATAGTCTAGATATAACAGGACGTGAATTATACGATATGATTCATAATGAAGATCCAACGTTAGATGTGAGTGTAGATGAAATCAGTGAATTATGGAACATTTTAAAGAATTCCACAAATTATCAGCATAAGCCAAGTAGACAGCATATATTCAATAAATCTAGTATTTATAAACGAAGTGTAAATATAACATGGTATAGTACTATTGATAAAGGCAAACAATTGTGGAACAACATGCAGGAAGAAAAACTTGAACTTTTTTTAATTGTGTTATTGGTAGTTATAATAGGAGAATTTCTGAGCTGTTCCATAGAAAAAGTTGCTGATGATGCATGGTTTGACTTTTTGGATCGCATTGATGACCTTGAAAAATATGGCAAGCAAAGACTAGGGGGAAACTTTGCTTTTGTAATTTTTCCCGTGTTAATAACTCTGTCTGTGCAATTCACAGATTGTCTTCTGCCACTGGACATCAACCATTTTTTGTTGCATTTCTATGCTTTTGGTGGCTTTTTGGGTCTAACCTTTGTAGTATCTTACTTTTATCCAGTCCCCCCACCCCAGAAACATGACTATAACAGTAAGGTGATGAAGGGATTAAGAATTATATGCTGTGACTGCCAAGGTTTAATGTACACACTTACGCTGCTTATAATGGGGATGATTTATGCCTCCTATCATAATTATCTATTCTGGCTTATTCAAGATTTAGGCGGATCAGAGTTAAATATGGGTATGTGTGTCAGTATTGGAGCTTTGGCAGAAATACCTATGCTGCTGTTAAGTCAGAAGATGGTAAAGAAAATGGGAAATGCTGGTGTTGTATCATTAGCCTTATTTTTACTCAGTTCTCGTGTTCTCATTTATTCGTTTATCCCAACACCATGGGCAGTCATGCCTGCTGAATTACTGCATGCTTTCACTCATACTGCTATGTGGTTTGCTATTCTTAGTTATGATGACTTTAATGTGGGTGCTATGATAGACAGAAGTATAAGATCTGTGTTGTCCTCTGTGTATTTTGGTGTGGGTTTTTCTGCTGGTTGTTTGATTTCTGGGCTGGCTTATGACCTTTTCGGCCATGCCATAATGTTTCAGTGTGCTAGCGTTATAGCTGGGGTGTGGTTTTTTCTTTTTTCTATTGTTAGTAGATGCATTCCTAAAAAGGAGAGAATTCGCTATGTAAAACTTTTGCATGCAGAAGATTCTGATACTGATTCCATAGAAGACGATTGGTTAGAGATGGCACTAAAAGAAAATTGATGTGTATTAGTTTTTTATTTGAAGATGATCTGGCCTGAGTTCACAAAGTATTCCCAGACTTAAAGTTAAGAATTTACTCAAAATTGTTTGCCTTATTTTAACTAAAATATAGGCCTTTTGTTGTTTTAATGTATCCAATATATCAATAAGAAACTACATGTATGTGCAAAGGTTTTTGTTTCTGGATCAAAGATATTTCTCATAAACAGTGATTGAACAGTGATTTGTGAAGTCAGCGCCTGATCTAACATCTAACTATAATTATATAAAGGGGTATATATATTGATGCTTCTTGTGCATGTCTTAAGGTTATAACTGTAATGTATGCATAATTATTTCACATATACTTCTACCTGTACACAGTATTTGTTTAAAGGATGTAAAACTAGTTATACCACATCCATGCTCAAAAAATGTTAATGTGTTCTTAGATTATTGTCGTCCTAATCCATCAGCCCGTCCTGTTAAAAAACAAAAACAAATAAAACACATTTCACTAATCACAAAATCAAACCCTATTACGTTGGACATTGATTAATCAATCAGCGTTGACATTTCTAGTGGTTTACCCACTGTTCCGTGCTTCGCATGCCAAGAACTTGCGGTAACAGACCGTTTCATTGACTAATCCCTCACTTTAACCAAAATGCCAGAAATATTACAACTCTTCCAGATCCTAGTGTAGTAAGTAAAAACAAGTAAAACAAAATTTTGAACTATGAAAAATGAAACGAAATAAGATCTGTGTTTAATCAGATTGTCATAAATTGGACCCAAACAAAACTGAGGATCGCAGAACTATTGTTCACGCATTTGTGGCTAGGGATCATTGAAACTGGGTAATTGTCCTACATTTCATAGTGGTTTAGAAATTTCTTTGTCCAAACTTGTTGAGATGATAGTCAAAATATACATGTATAATAAACCCTGTTGAAAATTAGCATGGTGTATGAATCATGTTATTGAAACCTTAAGGTTACAGACTTCAATATTCTAATTTTTGAAACTTATTGGAATGATAACCCATAATGAAATTTAGTTAGAGTCTTCAGTCTACTACATTACACATTTATACAGGATTCCGTAGCTCCAGAGAAATTTGTATTAAAACATTTAACTTTTATAAACTACCTAGGTGGTTTAGCTGCTGGTGAGCATATTCTAGTTTTTGAAACTTGTTGGAATGTTCAGACATTTAAGATGATAAACCGTAATGAAATTTAGAGCCAACAAACTACATTTCACACTTATATGGGATTTTGTACTTCCATAGAAATTTGTATAAAAATATTTAACTTTTATAAACTGCCTGTGTGGTTTAGCTGCTGGTGAGTGTAAGTTTTTGTGCTGCTGAATCTCTGGTGTCTTGTATAAAAGGTGTAAATTAAGGGGCCTTAAGGATTTGTAATCAAATTACATAATATCCCTTGTATTTTTTAACTTTGCTCAGGGCTAGGAACAGAAAACACTTATTAGCCCTAACTAACTTTCCTGAATACAAAGTTTTTATTATTATATATGATTTAAAAGTGTTGTGACTGGATGAGCGATGTATTTAGTACATTTTTGTGTACATTGAAATTGTGATAGAACATTAAGACCTAATCCTTGGAAGCCATTCCATTTTTTTTTTTTTTTAAATCTTTATAAATTATATGTTATTTTTGTTTTTTGTTTTTTTGGGTTGTTTCTTTTTCCTACTTTGTTATATTGTTGGTTTATTGTCTATTAACATTTGATATATAATTATATGTGTCTGTTATAATTATATTAATACATAATATATAATTATATGTGTCTGTTATAATTATATTAATACATAATATATAATTATATGTGTCTGTTATAATTATATTAATACATTGTCACCTATTGTCAAGTATATGTAGTAGTACATGTACATTGTCTATATTTATATATTAAAAAAATGTAAATTTAGAGGAAAAACATATATGGTACACTGTCTGTACAATTTTTCTCTACATATAAAACTTCTTGGCGTCTTCATTAGCCCAGTTGGTGTAGAAAAGTAGGCTGTTAGATCTCATTTACAAAAAGTTTTACAACCAGTGTTTGTCAATAAATTTACTAGTAATAGTCAAGATAGGAAAACAAGATTTTACAATCTACCAGTGACTTCACAAGAAAAGTGTAGAACTTTTGATATGATAATATTGCTGTTATTGTGGGTTTCTTCATTTGTAAATATGGTTCTATTTTTATGAGCTAGTCATGCTGCATGTTTATCTTAAAACCAAATTAGATCCACGATTAGATACACTTGGGTTTGAAATTTTACCACAAAACTAAGCCCTGTACTTATACAAACAAATAATTTGATTGGACATTGAGTTTAGATGGCAATAAAGTGCAACATTAAAAATAAATAATCATGTTATACATGGTTTATTTGACATATGTTTCAGGCATTTTGGATGACCCTAATATCGTAATATGAGGTATGCCTCTGTGTTGCTGTGTCGTTATAGTGGAAATTAGAAATGAGCCCAATGTTTGCAATTCGTAAATCTCTTGGTCTGTATCCATTGTTTCAGTCCCTGTCTTTCATTCCCATAAAGTAATGGCGACTATGGCAGAAATTGGCACAAACCTTAGCCAAGGTCTAACCGTCTTGTTTTAAGACAGTCAGGGATATGCTCGAACAATTTCATTTGCAAGGGCACCTCTGAAGCTTAGTCTTAAAGTTTGGTGCAGCGTCAAATTCGTATTCCTTCCATAGTACTTAGATATTGGTATTGTGGTCGAAAAACTTGGTGCAAGTGTAAAAATTTCCTTTTCGCCCACAGTATTCTGGGTTGTGCCATGACATCAAGGATTTTCGAACACGCAAAGCTGTTGGGTTGGTCTGCCAACTTGATCCAACTGAATGGTGCTGGAAAATAACTGATGGGACGTATCTCACTAGAAATTAGGCTTGTGAGGCGCTCTTGCAGGTAGAGTCGTCGTCAGAGTCTTGGTTTTAGAATGCAGGGAATATGTGCAAATAGAAGTAAATGGATGACGAATCTACAGTTGTCTATAACTTAATAATAAAAAAGTTATTAGGTTTTTAATCTAACAGTTGTAATCGTTGTTAAATTTATAATCTTTATTTCTGTACATCGCTGATGAAGTAAGACAGCTTTGCAAGTTAAAGTGGGCGTTCCAGACAAAGGCACCACTTTTTTTACGCATGATTTCCATTTCTGATCTTTAAGAATTCCGCAATGTAAACACCTATATCTGCAAAGATCTCAGCTTCTAAACATATCTCTCAACATATATGTTAAGGGTTAAGGAATACATTGATAGAAACGGATTTTTTGGACCCCCAAAATGTAGGTATATGCAAAACGATTCTTGCGCTCCAAATTTTTTTTGTCTCGATACACCATATGGACGCATTATGTCTTCGGCCCTGTCCGGCCGTGTTTCAGTTCACACTTTTTGTGGACACTCTATAGGTAACATTGTTTTATCCGTTGTTGAAGAAATTTTAAGATATAATATATGTTTATTTCACAAAAATTTTGACAAGCACGATAAATGTGAAACTCTTCACAGAAAAGTTAATTCCAGTCCCTATACAAATTACCCAGATGAAAACAATAATGATGGTTGATTTAGTTTGAGCACCCATTTTGACAGAACTGATGACAGAGCTGTTAAAGTTTGCGGGTAAAAAGGTCAAGGTTAATTTGTGCATGCGCAGTAATCCGTGTTCAGACCGGTTAGCGTTACACTACGAAAATTTAAAGCGAGCCAGTCCTGGTACCGTTCCGAGACCACCTCACTTCAGTGGCCCAGGTTGGCACCATACCAGGCGCGGCACGCTTACGTTTGACCCGTTTACACTACAAAAAAGCGAAGCGTGCCGCACCTCATACCGTGTCTGGTACACTTAAAATTTGTAATGTAAACGGAGTTAATGGTTCAGGTCGATTCCAACCCATACCATTATGCTTGGATCTCCCTACGAGTCCCGTTCCTTGACACATTGGGCAGTATAACGCTGGTCAGGTCGACGCCATATTCCGGTCCTGCCATCTGCAGTTAATACGCAGTACCGACTCTCATCCGTGAACAGAACAGTTCTCCATTGCCTGTGTCACCAGTTCTGCGGTTGTTGGAAAACTGTAGACTTTCACGTCGATGGCGAGGGGTGAGGATCAGTCCATGGCAACGTCTACGGCAATGGGTGTTCTCTCTGGTGAGAAGTCGGCGCACTGTATCGCTACTGATGGGTCTTCCGTGTGTTCCCACAGTCTGACGTGCTGTTTCAGATGCATGTGTGAAGGGATTCTGCACGTGCTGTCGCACAACATGGCGGTCTTATTGTCTTGTGGTAACCCTTGGTCTACCAGTTCGGGGGCAATCATCCGGGTTTTTGGTGGCCCGAAAGCGTTGCTGAAGCCTGTAGATGGTCCGAACATTGACCTGGAAGAGATTGGCAACGGCTGGGCAGTGTGGCCAGTGTCGAGTCTTCCAAGCGCCTGGTTCCTCTGAGCAGTTGTGAGTCGTGGCATGTTGCTGACGATGTATTGTGAAAGATTCAACCAGGTATGGGGGTAAACTTTATAGGGCTAGTCCCGATGAACAGCACGTGTAGCATGAGTTACATGAAAATCATGGAGAACACATCACCATCTCAGACGTCGGGTTGCGTTTTTGAGAACATTTCCTGGGTTTAATTCTGTGTTTGGGAAGGAGCTTTATTGCTGAGGTAAAGTTGGAGATATACAATTAAAACATTTGGCAAGTTTTATGCAATGCGTCTATTCAGGATAACATACCAATCTGACGTTTCTTTTGCTGCTTAGTATATCTTCCAGATATGTAGATGCAGAATTCGGATGCAGCCCTGGCTACCCTGGGGAAATTTAAAATGGCCACCATTGGATAGTATTCGATAAATTCATGATCAATTTTGGGGGACCTAGGTTTAAAGTAGTTTCTATAAGAATTTGACCCGTTGAATCCAATGAGCAGGTGTATTCCTAATTCCGCTAAGGGGCCAAATTCAAAATAGGGGCTCATTTTGGTTGGAGTATTTGTCATGCTTTAGTCCTTTGATGCAGAGACGTTTTTACATTACCATTTTCTTCCAGGGACCACTAAACTTAGCTAATTTGAGAACCATAAGGCGTTTCGTTTGGTCATAGCACATTTTGCTGTTCAGATATACATTCGGCAACCCCGAAACCCAGTAGTTTGACGAATTACACTATCACATTACTAGCATCGAAATTTCCCGCGAAATGTGGCCGCCATTTTGAATATAACTGTCATATTGGAATACCTTTTGGTTGGAACATATTTTTATGTTTATATATGAATCACGTGATCCCGAAAAGCCATATTTTAATATATTACACACTTATATAGAGGACCCCAATTTGAATTAGCCGTCACCTTTGGGGTGGACACAAGCGCATTGGTATCAGTGGGTTTCTTATAGAAACCAGTCTCAGACCAAGGCCCTGAGTATTGGTCTCGCATTTTACTCAACTAAATGACCTAAAAATGCCCAATGCCGGCCATCTTGAATATTTAAATTTCTGTAACATTCGGCAACACAAAACAATTCAAAAATGTACAAATGCAGTTTATTTTGAAAAATGTAAAAATGCAGTTTATTTTGAAAAATGGACACCTTCAGGTAATCACCAAAACAGATTTATAATAAAATTATATCTTTAATGTTCTTATTTCTAGAGTTCATTAAATAGGTTATAATGTTACAGTCTGTTGTTTGTTTGTTTTTTTTTTGTTGTTTTTTTATACCCCCCCCCCCCAAAAAAAAAACCACCTCAATTTCACACGAAACTGTTCTACATTGTGAACGTAGAGTAAAGCACTGATTTAACTTTTAACACGGATAAATTCTTTATACAACGCAAGATTTGTCACGTTTTGTAATGTCTGATGATTTTGAGGAACCAAATTTTTGTAGAAGTAGAGATAGAATGATTGTTAAAAACAGGGCAACAGCAAGACTTCCCACAATGCCAACAAGGACATTTATTTCTTTAGGTGGCGGTAAATCAGGACTCTCTGTAACAGTTTCTATGATTGGTTGGTATTCTTTGCTGACATAATCTGGTAGGTAACCAAACGCCGTGGTAACAAAGTTAGATTTCTCCGCCAAGTTTCCCTGCTTATCAACCGCTCTAACAGAAAACACCAAGGCAACTTTCTCTCCAGGAATAAAGGGAACTTTTAAAACAAAGATTTCGGACACCCCGGCTACTTTTGGTGTTTTCAGATTTCCATGTAAGATATCATTCTGTGAAATATATTTCCATGTGTTTTGATGATTTACCATATCTTGAACATCATGTGACATCATTATATCATAGCTGGAAGCTATTTAAAAGATAAACATTTTTATCCTGAAATGTTTCTATGTAAAAGTACAACAAATATTAGTAACTTAAGGCAACAACAAAGAATATTTTTGTTGGCGATATGTAGGGAACTGGAATAATAAATCCCCGAGAATCTCTTGTTGGTATGTTTACACTGGATGACAGGTCCCCTATTTTGGCAAGGACCGGATTTCCCCTTTAGTCATGGTTTAGAAAGAATATGCGTGTTCTCCTAGAAAGTTTGATAGTCAATGACATCCGTACGCACGTGAATTTGGTATTCAAAATTGAATAGTAAGAGTCGATCTTTGGAATATACATCTTTATTACTTATCATTTTTTAAAAATATTTTTTTACCTGTATCAATGTCAAAATCGTCACCAGGCGCTGTCCATGATAACACAATCGTTTGATCTGTATGTGATGTCTTAAGTACTGTTAAATCTGTTATTCTTGCTGGCGGCAAAATATCACTAATAATATTTTCTGATGGGTACGGTAAAGCAGCACTAGGCGCCATGTTTTTATAAAGAAAGGAACCAGCTGTAGTAGAACGACTGATATACACCATCAACGGTTCTTTTGATGTCTGTCTTCTAGTTCTAACTATATACATAAAAAAAAATAATAATGAATAGAATTTCTAACGTTTCTAAACCAACCGGGATAATGAAGACGGACATACAGTATGCAGTGTACTATAGGGGACATTTTTCCCGGACAGCTACGCTACGGCCTACTCTTAATTCGAATTCCAACAGGGCCAAGGATTCTTTTACGTACACGCCAACGCATTCACGGGACCTAACTTTTTGTCCCATCAGAATGACTAGACACTGCCAGAACCCCCGTCTTGCACCACTGACAATGTGAAACTACGCGGGACAAGATGTTAATTGGACAACAAATTACTTTTATAGTTTAAATTACAGAATCAGAATACCAATGGGTCAAAATACAAACTGTCGAACTGGTTAATATATTACCTGAGAAGTGTTTTGTTAAAAAAAAGTTGCTTGACTCGGTCCAGATAAAACGGGACGGGGCAAAATGATTGGACAAATTTAGGTGTTTTGGACGTTTGCTCAATAGATTATAACCAAATTGGTAGATCAGTTGCCTGGGTGGTACTTTTTAGGTCGTTCAGATATGATCAAACGATTTTGATTATATTTCAGCCGAATTTCTGGTATGCTAATTAGGTGTGCTTGTCGTCCTGGTTTGTCCAAATATACATGCACCAAACACCCATAACTTCGCACAGAAGTAATTTGACTGAAATTTTCAATATTCAGTTTTCATTATCTACTTTTAAACTATTATAGTAAGAACGGTCAACTCTTTATCTTTAATTCTTACACAATTCATCTTTAACATAACAAGACCATAATCTATATGGCAACCCCAACCTTTCAAATGATACCAATTTTAACATATTTAACATAGTGCAAAAATACATTAAAGATAGCAAGAGATTTTAACACTTTAACATTTAATTTTTTATTTACAATATGCAATACTTTTTATCTTATATAAATTTCATAATCTAAAATGAAAATGTTATACCTTACGATTAGACTCCAAGACATGTATATATACTCAGCCAAATTAAAAACTTGACACTGATGAATTTCAACAAATTTTTTTTCTGGTAAGTCAAATAAATTTTAAAGTGTTTCTAACGATAGTAAGTAGTAAGAAGCCTTTAATTTCATAAAATTGTAAAGTCACGTGGATCACGTGACTTTTGAGCATATAAAGATGAAAAACCTGAAAAACACGTGCAAACACAAACTCGTGAGGTCAATCGATGCAAGTTTGCTTAAACTGAACACGCACACGTAACTTGAACGGGAAAAACAAATTAAAATAGTTATTTTCATCTTTGTTAGAAAATGCCGCGCCTTGCTATAGGTAGGCTCTATGCTGGTCAGTCTGTGGTCACTGTTGCAAGAGCCTTTAATTGTTCACGCCAGACAATAATCTTAGAATGAGAGTGCTTCAAACTGGAACTATTGCCGACATCCCAAGGGTGGGAGCGCCACGTGTGACGTCACTCCAGGAAGATCAAGCAATACGATTACGTCATCTTAGGAAAACAGATTTGTCACTGCAACCTCCACAAGTAGATAGATGTTTGGTGGAAGGGTAACTGCACAAACTGTTCGAAATCGCTTGCAGGCTGCTGGTCTTCGAGCTCGGAGGCCCTATAATGAACCAATATTGACACCTCTTCATCGCCGTAACCGACTTGTGTGGGCCACGAGACACATAAGATTTACTCAAAGACAGTGGAATTCGGTTGTCTTTAGTGACGAATCTCGATTCACTTTGAGATTTGCCGATGGCAGGGCCCGAGTGTACCGCAGACGAGGTGAACGTTACGCTCAAGTATGCGTCAAAGAAGTTGATCGATTTGGTGGCGGCAGCGTCATGGTTTGGGGTTCTTTTTGTGCACAAGGACGTTCTCCTTTTGTTGTTGTCCAAGGGAACTTAAATGCTGTCCAGTACAGGGATCAGATTTTGCAACCTGTTCTTCTTCCGTTTATGCAGAGACATGGGCCTGGACTAACGTTTCAACAGGACAATGCTCGACCCCATACAGCAATTGCTACCCAGAATTTTTTAAGAAATGCCGGTGTCCCAAGTCCTGGATTGGCCGTCGCTTAGCCCCGACCTTAATCCTATTGAACACATCTGGGACGAACTGGGTCGACGTGTTCGTCAGCAAGTGAATCCACCACTGACGTTGCAGGACCTTCAACATGCTCTTGCTGAGCAGTGGCGACGTCTTCCTCGGGTAGTGTTTACTAATGTTCTGAGATCCACGAGAAGACGTTGTGTGGCAGTACGAGACGCTAGAGGGGCCACACCCGTTACTAAACACTTTATTCCGATTGTTCTCCAAGTCTGTGAATTTCATTTTGGGGGGTACTGTGACATCACGAACGTTATCAATGTCAAGGAGTTTCGGCGAGACGTATTCTTGCTTTCTGTTGATGTCAAGGTCGTCTGTGCACAACATAACACTAAAATAGTTGCCTTAAACCAAATATTAAAAATCTAGTCCCAAAAATCCCGAGTGTCAAGTTTTTAATTTGGCTGAGTATATGTTTGTCTATACATATGTCCACCATTGTCTATTGTAAACATAAGATATAACTGTTTTATATGTTTGGAGAGAACTTATATAGATGTTTGCCTGTTGTTCAATCCAGTTCAGTTTATTGAATAAAATATTGTTTAAACTAGACTGGATGGATTAGAACGGACTCGCCAGTTAATAATTTGATGATAAAATGGATAATGGAGACTTTGTTTATTGTCATAGCAATGGTATTTGACAGTCGATACTTTCACGTGAAAACTTCGAACACTCATAACTTCGCTCAGAATAAAGTAATTTGACTGAAATCTTCAATATTTTCATTGCTCAACATCTATTTTAACAAAAACATCTAAATCTTACATAATGCATCTTTAAAGAGTAAATATTAATGACCAAATAACAATAAGGTGCTGCTTTTTATTTCTTGTTCGGGAAAATTACAGGATTTGGCTTGAATCGGGAAAATTACAGGACTTGACTTGAATCGGGAAAATTACAAGACTTGACTTGAATCTGCGATTTATTCTATTTTTACAATTCCTCTCTGATAAATTATAGGTGGGAACTTAGTCCCGAAATGACCTAGTTTGTGTCGAGTGAACGTTAAACCCTCTCTCTCCCTCTCTCTCCCACTGCTAAAGACCCCTACGCGCAAGCGAATTATTGAAATAAAATTGAACCATGTGTTAGTCCCGAAATGACCCAGTTTGTGTCGAGTGAACGTTAAACCCCATCTCTCTCTCTCTCTCTCATCTCTCTCTCTCTCTCTCTCTCACACACCCACACACACACTCTCTCTTTAAATGTGGCGTATCATATAGTTCAAATAACGGTACTGGCAACGTGCCAATTGTACATTAGATCGTAGACGAAATATTGGACTCGCGTGACGATTACATTGACATGCACGTGCGGGATAGTTTCGGTATTTTAAGTGTTTCATGGTCGCGTCAGTTATCATACGGGCGGATTTTGACCTTATGGCATTGATTAATCAATCAGCGTTGGCGTTTCTAGTGGTTTACCCAAAGTTCTGTGCACCTCACGCCAAAAACTCGCCGTAACAGACCGTTTCATTGGCTAATCTCTCACATCAATCAGTGTTGACGTTTATAGTGGTTTACCCAAAGTTCCGTGCACATCACATCAAAAATTCGCCGTAACAGACCGTTTCATTGGCTAATCTCGCACATCACCCAGAACGCGGATTATATAACAACTCTTCCAGATCCTAGTGTAGTAAAGAACAAGTAAAACGAAATTTTGAACTATAAAAAACGAAACGGAATAGGATCTGTGTTTTAATCAGATTGGGTGTTCAAGTTACTGATCAACCTGTAATGTGTTGTTTTAGCACATACACAGGTGATCATTTGAGGAAAAGTAGGTGTTAAAATATATGCAGTTAAAACAATAAATAATTTAATACCCCATTCACACCAAATGAATAACATTACATTATCCATTGGCCTGTTGTGGATTTTAAAGATAGATTGCTAGGCAACGAAACATACGCCCACAGCAGCTAAGTCGTCCGGCAGTCAATGGCGTCATTTCCCTTCAATTCTGCTTTGCCCTTGAAGTTTGGTAGTGTGGTGGCGTTTGGTGGAGATACAGTGGAGATCAATTGGTTGTAGCTGTTGATGTTTTGGTAGGCGATCTGTTTGTCTAGTCGGAATCGGGAAGAAGTGGGGATCTGTGTGGTAAAGAGTCTGGTTCGTGTATCCTTGGTCCAGCTTCCACCCTGCTGTTGAGTCCGACGTGTATAACCATTTCCTCGGGTGCAGGTCTCATGTATTTCTGTAGGATCTGTTTGATGTAGCAGATCTAGGCTCCAGAATAGCTATGGATCTCCCATTCCCCGAGAAAGTATACTGTCCTTGCCAGGTTAGAGGATCCAATAACCATGGTCTTTTCCATCACAGGTGGTAGGTACCATGAAACCTTCTCATCTTTACGTTTGTAGCTGTGTGGTCTCGTCGTAGAAAGTCTGAGTGATCGTCTGCAGCTGGTAGAAGGCTTAGTAGTGGTGTCAAGGATAGAAATGGTGGGCGGTCTAAAATCCAATTACGAATAACGACCCATTAAGATTGTCATACTTGTTTGGCTTATAGTTCTGGTCTATATTAAAGGAGCTAAATCGCTTATACTTGGGACCTAGAAATTGACCCAAATGGGTCGCAACGCATATAATAATGTAATCTGATTGTATATAAACTGATTTACATTCAATTGTTTCCGCTTTGACTCTAATTTCAAATCAGTTATGTCCAGCGAAATAAGGCATATGTCTCAACCCTATAGCAATTTCCAGCGTCTGGTTATTCCAGTCTATTCAGCAGGCTCTCCAGTTGAAGATGTCTAGCCTCGTTCTTTCTTGTCACTTGTTGCAAATGACGCCTAAACCCACTATGGTACACGATTCGTGTACCAATGGTAAAATATTTATTTTGTCTTAAATATTGGATATCAGAAGCCTGCCCTTTCCTGGCAAGATCACAAGATCAATGTTGATTTGAATTGACAAATAATTCGCATTTTCAACGTGTAAGACTTTGGATGCTATTGAGTTAGAGACTTAGCTACTTTAAGGTTTAGTATTCAAAACATTAAATGTCAAGGGCCATAAAGCTGGAAGTAATTATTGGAAATCATTAATATTCAATAGGATTCTTCTTCTCATGACCATAATTGTTTAGCCTTCAGAGCGTGGAAGTCGGGCAGGCGAACGGGGGCGACAACAATATACGACATGTGGACACATAAAAAAGTGTCGAAAACCTGAAATCAACAAATAGGCTTAAAATACATTTATACGTATCCCAACCCAAATTTCTTAAAATTGTGTTTCAAAAACCTGACATTGGAATGGTCTTAATCTGATGTGTATGCATCGTAAATAAACAGGTATACGTGCAAAATAATGTATTGATGCCGGTTATAGACGAATTAGTATAACGATTTGTGTGATAAAGTGCCTGTGATAAACTTGCTTCTCTCTCGTAACCGTTCAATTAACTTCTTATACAAACAAAGAATTCAGTGTGTAAGTCAGTTATCGACCTGGACCTCGGGTTCAAGTTACATAAACACCCGCTCTCGTACATTGAACACTTCAAACGCTGTGCGTTCTCTGCACGAGCTCGGATGTTCATCTAACTTAAACCGCTCTTTCTCAGTCGTTAACCCTTACATATACCCCTCGGACAATATCAATATATTACTTAATGTCTCGCCATTGACAATTAAACCACACGAATGTAGCTTCAAATGTCCTTAAATTCGTAGATATAGTGGGTTTTTTTTTAAGTCATTACCTGTTAGGCTAGAATCCGTATCTATTATTAATGATTCCGTCTGTTTTTCACGAGGAAGTGTTTTTCTGACCATACCTTGACCAACAGTAGCACTAACTTCTATTTTAACGCTATATATACCAGTATTACTGTACTGCGTAAAATATCGAGAATAAACACCGTCATTTTTATTTATATCAGCTCCTAAAATAAAGATATAATAATACTCTATTTATACCATTTAATGGCCTAATGAATGTTGCTTTTTTTTAGGCTACGTTAGAAGTTAGGTTTAATTACCTAAGCTATTGTGTATCATCTCCCCCATTCGATACCGCTACATTATAGCCTAGAGTCCCAGTTCTTGCATAGTTACAAACCTGGGTACGTCAACATGTTAAGTATATGCCTAAATTTAGTGTAATTTGCATAATTACAGAAACCTTGTAATTTGGATTATCCCACACATTGGAATGATCTGTGTGGATACTGCAATAGATACAGACAGTCTAATTTATCTACCTGCACCGTTATCTAGTAGTTGTATTGAAACAGGGTCTGTGAATGGTCGATCTATGGTGGCTGTAACAGTCATTCCTGTTACTGGAAGAGATCCCTTTGTTACTTCTGCGTGAATAATTAACGCACCAGGCCCTATGACAGAAGCAGACGATAGAATGCCATTAATTTTAACTGGTTCACGATTGTCATCAACAGGTTCACTGGTCACCATTATAGATATCTTCTGCGACGTTTCTTGGTGTTTATTATTTATGATATTATAGAACCACAATCCACTCTAAAAGAGATTTTGAAAAATAATATAATTATGGACCAAATATGTTGGGTAGCAACGGCCTCCTGGCGCAGAAACTTCAGTTTTTGTCTTCCTTTCCTTGTCCAGTGTCCCCCGAGACAGTATAGGAAGTTTGAATATGTTCCAGAACATAAACAAGCTAACATATCTGATTAAATACTAGCACTATATTCAAATAGGGGTGTCGCGAAACTTTTTCCTCTGAGTATATTTAATCCACTTGGTTTAAAAATTTATCGATTTAGTTTAGATATTTTATCTATTTAGTTTAGATTTAACCCATCCATTTTATATATTAAATACATCCAATCTAGATATACACGTGGAATTATATTTACCTCGGCAATTTCAGGTATCTCTATTCTGACTGTATTATATTTATCATCAGCTTTATATTCTGGGTATCTTTTATTATAAATTCGACCTGATGGGGATGTTATAATTATAGTGGGTTCTATCTTAGAATACATGACAGTAAACACAGTCTTTCTTCCAACATCTTCATCGACTGACACATGCCCTGTCATTTTTTCGCCAGATAAAATGTTGTCGGCTCGACTCATAATCTGTACATATAAACATTTTAATTATGTTCAGCTCATTAAAACTACAATGATAGTTTCGTACCTTACCATACATTTCATCGAAAGCAATTTAAATTATCGGACTCAAGAGACACCGTGTAACATTTTATTTATTATTCCTTTAATGTTTGCTTTAAATAGACCGCTATTTGGAGGTTTTTTTTTAGTGTACTTTGGGTTTCATTTCTCACAACCCTCAGCAATAACACAACATACCTTTATCGATCAATAAGTGAAATGAAATTAAATTAGATGGGATTTAACGTCCTACTGTTCTGCTCCGACTACGACCTACTCTTATATCGAATTCCATCTGCCAAGGGATATTTTACGTGTACCCCAATGTGTACACGGGACCTCGATTTTCCGTCCCATCCGAACGACTAGACAGTTGTCAGGTCCTCCTTCTTGCACCTCTGACATCCTTGAAAATCCCGATGAACTTTCTCGGCCAACACCGGTGACTCACTCACAGGGGCTCTCGGATTTGCTCCCGATTTTGGCAGAGAAAGTTCCTAGTGATTTCCGACACGGGTTTTCCTTGTCAGTGGTACAGGAAAATCCCGATGAACTTTCTCGGCCAACACCGGTAACTCACTCCCATGGGGTCTCGATTTGCTCCCGATTTTGGCCGAGAAAGTTCCTCGTGATTTTCCGACGCGGTTTTCCCTGTCAGGGTACATGAAGAAACGAAAATCCGAGGTCCAGTGTATACAATGGCATGTACGTGAAAGAACCTTATAAGACAGTTGGAATTTGAAATACGGGTAGGCCGTAGCTCCGCTGTCCGGGCAAAATATCCCCATAGAACACTGCATGCACATTAAATTGTCTTTCATTTTATTTCAGCACAGCACCAAAAATAAAAGGAAACGAAATTGACTATAGATATATTGATATATTTAAATGCATGTACAAATTTAGTTTATTGTCACATTTTTCTTTATAATATGGTATACTGTACATTCTTACGTTAAAAAGAATTTACCTGTAAAGCCCGATTTTCTTTTGTCCATGTTGGATTTTGTCTCAGTTTGAATAATGCGTCAATGAGTGTCGTCGATTGATCTTGGTTATTGTCAAAATATGCATAGCCACCTTTGCAATAAAAGAAAATACTAAAGCATTTTTTTTTTTAAATTTAAAACAGTAAAGATTTCCTTATGTTTATATTTATTTGAAAACTGTGTAACTTGCCTATTCATTGAATTCTAATTGGCTGTAGACACGCTGGTAGGTCTTGATTTATCCTTCCATCGAACAGACAGACCTTATTTGTAAGCGGTATAAGCTAACCGACTACAGATCACCATAAAAAAAATTCATTGACTAAAACGGTAATTTAAGTCACTTTTACCGGTGGTAAGTTTTCCCCAATTTTCGTTGTCTCTACCACAGATGAAACATCGGTGTGGCAATTTGAGAAACCGGAATTAGCATACTGTATCGTCGTATATACCATACCTATCATTCTGCTCCAAAATCGTGAATATTAATTAAAACCTGATATATATATATATATTTGACTTTGATTTACCTGTAGAATGCGCGGCATGTGTTAAATTCTCGTCAGATAGTTGGTTTAATGCTAGAACTGTCATAATTGCTCCAGATTCTCTTAAATTTGATAATACGCCATCAATTTTTGGATTTGTCGTCTCCACGCCATCTGTTAACACCAAAATTTCTGAACCGCTGGAGTTTTTGCCATTACTGGATAACAGCTATTTTGTGATTGAAAAGAGTCATTAGTTTCTTTACATCTTTTACTCATTTCGTATATTTCTTTTACAAACAGAATAGTTGAAGGTGCTAAGATATAAAGGTCTCTAATATAGTCTGTTGCCCTAGTCGGCTTCATCATTTCGTTTCGCTTTTAACATCTTTTATGGTCCGAAATTGTAGTCAACCAAACTCTTCGGAAACCTTGTGTACATGGATATCAGCTTTTTTCCCGACTCGACAAATCTCGACACCCTATACATCTGACCTCGGCTCTATGGCGAATTCCGCCATTGGAACTACTTTCAAGTTACCGGATTTAAAATGGCTGCGCCCATGAAGGCGCCCGTGAAGAGTGTTTTATCTCAAGAAACTGTATATTCTTTGTTATGTACTTTTATCCGATTTTCTTTAAACAAATGACAACTTTTCCTAATAAGTAGCCATATCACAATTGTGTGGACGTAGCTACATATCTTTTACCGCCATACAGTCGAGGCTACATGTAGGGTACGTAAGTACCGGCGTCTGCTGAGGTTTTCTGAGTGCTTTTACCCAAGAGGATTAGTTTGCAGCGTCATGAGTTTTGGTTCACGCATAGACAGCACCGTACGAAACTTAGCCTACATTGTCCGTCTACAGTTAGCTTCGAAAAAACATAATCGCTAAATTCCAAGCCGTTAGAAACGGCTATATTTCAATATAATTATTTAAAAATTATTATCAGTATTCAGTTGACTAGTCTAAATGTCTTTGAAATATTACAATTTAAGTCCAATAAAAATTTACCTGGATGGCTTTGTGAATACCCGATCCAATGCTGGTAGCACCTCGTGTAGCTGTAGGCAAACTGTCTTTTAATCTATCTCTATCACTATGTGTTTTAATAGTTGTCATTGGGTGAATTATTTTACCTTTATCATTAAAAACCACTAGTCCTACTTGACTGTTAGTATCAATACCAGTATGAATGTAATCAGCGGTAACTTGTCTTAGTCGATCAACTGCATCATCATCCTATATAATATATTTTGGGGAAAATGAAATGAAATGGGATTTAACGTCCTACTGTTCAGTTCCGGCTTAGCTAATGAAGACGGGCATGTGCCATACAGTGTGCTGTGGGGGAAATTTTGCCCGGACAGCGGCTCTATGGCCTGCTCTTATATCGAATTTCAACTGTTAAGGGATCTTTTACGTGCACGTCAATGTGTACACAGGGCCTCGGTGTTTCGTCAGGCCCGCCGTCCTGTACCACTGACTGGGCTAATGTAGACGGGCATACGCCATACAGTGTGCTATGAGGGAAATTTGGCCCGACAGCGGCACTACGGCCTACTCTTATATCGAATTCCAACTGTCAACAGATCTTTTACGTGCACGCCAATATATACACGGGACCTCGGTTTTACGTCCCGTCCGAACGACTGGACAGCTGTCATTGTCAGGCCCTCCGTCCTGCATCACTGACAAGGGAGAACCACGCCGGAAAATCTGGATGAACTTTCTCGGCCAATGCAAGGATCGATACACCTGACCTCCAGGCTAGCGAGCCAGCGTCTTACCCACCACGATCCCTAGAAAAATAGAACCCCTCGAATAGACTGGTACACAGATATAGAACAGTGATAGGACTATAAATGATTAAGAATGTACTACACATCTAGCTAGATATCATGTGTGTACTACACATCTAGCTACACACATTAATATAGGCGCACGTGTATGATGTAACACAAGCATGTACATTTACAAGCTTAATCGTCCATATTAATAATTTTGAAAAATTTCGAGGTTGAACAAGAGAAAATGTCTAAATTGGCCCTGGCAGTATGAACATGTTTAGTATGGGCCGATGAAGGGGCCCACTTCCCCATCCCTATGTTGTCGGGCTACTTGATTAATATGAACTATCCGAGCACCACTCCTGTTGTAAATCTAGAGAGTTCTTTATGATTAGGGGAAAAGTCAAAAAAAAACCCAACAAATACTGTACTTCAGTTAAACAAATTCCGAATATGCAACATCGAGGCAACATGCATATTCACATGCCAAACAACCTAAATATGCACTTATTGATCACGAGTGGGTTGATGGAGACATGTATACGCAATGCAGTGTGCTATGGGGGACAGTTCGCCCGGACAGCGGCATCACCGTCTACTCTTCTTCGATTCCAATCAGCCAAGGGTTTTCTTTTGTACATGACTAGACGCTGTTCATTACAAGGTCCCCGCCCTTCACCACTGACATAGGCTGGATAAACCCGGGTAACTTTCTCGGCCCACACCGGGATCCATCTCGAGTATTCCTGCTAGTGAGCCAGCGGACTGCTCACACAACAGTGCGCAAAGAGTGTTCGATGGGTGTGAAAGAAAGTCACAAGAAAGTTCCAAAGGATACACTTTTTATGCTCTTTAGAAACAACATGTACGAGCCTACTATTTGCACCAGGGACCAAGCATGACGCCATTGCAGCCATCTTGCAATTGTGACACCTATCAAAAAAAGAATTCCGACAATCGATTCACAAGTTTCATATCGATCGGACTTGAATTCGCTGAGCCTTCAGCATTTTCGAAGGACCCAGGAACAAGAACCAGAAGAACGGCACAATGGG